AAGCTAATACGGTCAGCTGTTACGTTCCGCGAGAAGTATTGACACCGGGCTCGTTGCGAGCCGACAGATTGGAAAACTCTCGGCGCAAATATTTTCCCCCGGCAGCATCTTTGAGGCTCGTTCAAAGAAGATCCCGAGTCCGTCAATAACCGATTGATCTAAGAGGATGGAGAGCGCAGATCAACACCCCCGGAGAGAGGTATCTAGAAAGAGGGAAGCCGCTTCCTCTATGAATAGATCTCCTATTTCGGAAGCTGAAGGGTACGTGTCATCGAGCGGCGACCAATATCGTGTATGCTATATATTGCGAGTGTATGGTAATAATTACACACAGTTTGAGTGAAATGAAACGGAAATATTCGGCTTGAAAGTATTAGCATGATCCGAGTATGATGAAAGTCTAGATATATTTGTCACATTTTAAATACAGCAGAGCTTTTTTTATTTGAATTTCTATTATTCAAACATTTTAATTATGCCAAATATTTTAATATCTTAATGTCAAAATGTTCATTATTAACGGATGATTTCCTAGCAATATGATATTTTGATAATTCAACGTTCGGATGTTAAAATATTTGAATGATGGAAATTTAGATTTTTGGGTAAGATTGTAATTAATATTATAAATTAATAAATATTATCGCGTTACATCTCCTATGGTAAAACATTCATATTCTAGACTTCCAACAAATGTAAAAAAACTTTGGATTACTTAATGAAATCTTTAGTACATCGTTAAAATCAAATTTTAAAATGATTTTAATGATTACTCAGGAAGAATAAATATTTTCTTCGAGGAATTTAGCTGAGCGAAATTTTGCTCGAACAACCCCAGGTTGCCTCCGGAAAATGATTAAAACAGGAAAATGAGAATTTCTGATATTTTATGAATCTTAATTAATTTCTTATTTAAAATTACTTGTTGCAGTTGCTTCTAAAATTAGAATATTTTCGCCGTGTCGAATCTTTCATTGGAATTTTAAATTCTGAATATAAAAGATAATTAGAGAAAGAAAACAGAAATGAATATGCGAGAAAAACCGAGCATACTAAAATATATTACGGTACGTATACCTAATAAGTTTAGTAGATGAAAAAATATGAAGAATCCTTCGACAAATCAGTGAACATAATAATAGCAAAATATAGCAAAATGAAATTTTCTTGGACAGTAACGGCAAAATTGAAACACGACATCGATCATCACAAAAAGTATTGATGTTGCATGAATACTTTATTCGATCTAAAAATGAATCGCTATTTCTCGTATATTTATGACGTGATTAAATTCCTATAATCTATAAATGACAGAGAATAAAGAAAAATTTATAATACTATAGAAAGCACAAATTTCGATTTATATGTAAATTTCGGAATCGTCCAAATATAGAAATGTACTCTTGTAAATCTATGAAATTTTTATAGAGAATTACGAATTGATCATGCTGGTTACTCTGTTAGAGCTGTTGGAGAAGAAGAATAAGGAGGGCATCGTGTATTAATGGTCTCGTTAGGTAAAATCATAACAGAAGAGCATAATGAACGGTTGCATAGTTCGCAACGAGAAAGTATAAAAAATAAGGAATCTCTCTCGTAAGTTCTCCGCTTAGATGCATAGTTAACAATAATTGTGCCGAAAGTATGTACGTATGGGGAAAAAGAAGTTAGCAACATCGTAAACACGCTCGATGGCTCGGAGAGAACTTTCATTTTGAAATAAGGATTGTGTGATGAGCAGATGGCATGAAAAGATATGGAAATGATTTTCCGTATAACGACAACGTGAAGAAGAGGGGAGTTCCAGAACTAGGCTGATAAATCAGAAAAGGCATCGCGGAAAAGGATCCCACTAACATAGTGAAATTTATGGTTCTATAATTGGTTCATGCGTGCATACGCATGTATGCATTATCGTTATCTGGTGTGAATATTTTTGTATAATAACTCATATGTATACTACTTTAACTTACCGTATTAATCTGCATTTAAATTACATTTGTATATTTTAGTTAACACTTTGTATAAAACTATATTTAGCTATGTTTCTGTTCTTTAAACGAATTTTTCATATTTTTTGTAATAATTGAAATTTTCTGCAATTATTCAAATCTTTTCCGAGATGTAAAAACACTTATTATTAGCTGAAATAACAGTTGACATTTTCAAGACTTTCGTGGGATAAGGTGATTAAATGCCATAACTATTCGAGTATACAAGTAATAATTACTACATGCAGCCAGTGGAACGAAGTAAACACTAACGTGCGATAAAATGATAATTTCATTCCTTTCTTTTATGATACAGCAAAACATTTTCCTTGTCCGTTCATTTCGCATCGTTATTACTACAAAGAGAATTTGCCACATAATGACAACTAAGTAATGAACACGCAAAACGTGCATGTTGTGCATGAAAAAATAATGAACGACGTTCATGCGCTCATTGATCCAGTCTCCAAGAAGTATTAGCGCATTCTAAACTCTAAACGAACGTTTTGACTTCCGTTTCGCATGGAAACGTTGGAAACAGCATGAAACGCGTAATTTTTATTTCGAAACTCTCTTTCTCTCTCTCTCTTTCTTTCTCACTTTTTTTCGCTTACTTGGTCTCTTTTTTCCGTTCCAAGGGGTACAATTGAATTTCTTTATTCACGCACTGTAAACCACGAACAAAGTTTAATGCTTGCAGAGACCTTCGTCGGCATTTACGTTTTTAAAACAATGACTAAAAGACGATGAAATTGACTTTGTCAATTTCTTTGAAGCCGTTAAATTTGAAAATTCTATTCAAATTTAAATGGAACGTTCGTTTCCGCGATGCTTTTCACAATGTAACTCGTCTTTCGACAAAACTGGTTATTTCACAAACGCGTAATTATTACGATTAATTTTACGAATACACGAAGGGCAATTAATCTTGCGAAAGAAAGAAAATAACGAAAGAGAAACTCGTTAAATTGTACCACGTGAATTCGACTAGTAAAGCAGATTTTATAAAAGAAAATAATTATAATTTGTAAATTTAAGGTAATATTTACATTAATTACCTATATCACCTATAATTCTGGAATAAGGGAATATTAATTATAAAGAAATTGCTATATATAAACTTAATGTAAAATGTAAAATTTTAATTTGAATTCTCTATCTTACGCGATTAACATCATAAACGATTTTTATCACATAAAATGAACAATAGAATTAAAATAGTTTAATTAAAGTTGTCGTAGATTACTTATTAATCGGTGATATTCAACTGAAAATCAAATTATGATTTACTAAATAAAGGTTACGAATAAAACAGATGGTAACAAAGAAAACTATGGGATTTTTCTTTCTCGATTGTAACAAAAATTTGAATACAGAATATTGTAAACACAAACACGAATTTGGTAACTCAGCGAGAAATCAATCAGGAGGTCTGAGTGTTAACGATAACGCTATGTTCGACCATCTGTATTTTTAAACTGGCTGAATAAAAAAACAAGGCTGAATGCTGGGGACGAGACGTGATGCTCTTAAAGTTTGCATTATTAAATGACATCCGTACAATTGCATTCAGTTCCAAAAACATGGTCACGGTAACAAAACGCGACTCTATCATCTTTCCTGAGGGGATACTTTGAAAGATCATGCACACACTCAAAAAGTTTCATCCACTTTGTCGAGTTACGTGACTGTGTAATAGGAAAAACACGACATCAAAAGCAAGAGTCTTTCACGATGTACAAAGCGTTATCTCCTTATACGTTAAGTAATCCATTCAGTCTGTTCTCAATCCATATAAAAAAGAATTCACCGAAGCGTAAACGTTAATTCACTCCTTTCAAATATTGCCGCCATTATGGTGAAAGAATTGAAATGGTGAACGATGTAGGAAATATGTAAAAATTTGAGATACAGATAAGAAATATTGATTTGAAATTGACTTCGATTCCCGCTAGGAAAATTATTCCTTTTATTTTTCTCATTGAAAATTCTTAATTATGCCGTTCTTTAATTCTTAATTGTGCCGTTCTCCAGCTTTCTTTTAGAATTCATTTGAGATACACAAACAAATAACATAGTGCATTACGCGCTTATACATCAAATTTCATATTAAAGGAATTGCACAAATAGCTTTTGTATTCGGTAACAACTGTTGAACAGCACTGGAACAGTATTATACATGTATGTATACCACTGTATTGGTATGCGATCGTTCAAATGATGCGCAGCCTAACCTTAACAAACTCCGAATCCTTACCTGATGAAAGTCGAGTCTGCCGCAGGACTGGAGGGTCTTGGTGAGGAACTTGCGGTGGACGCGGTATTGGTCTCTTCCACGTCCATCATCATTCATACCGACAATGACGGATCAATGCAAACGTCAGAAATTAACGGAGAATTATGTTAATGAGAACAGCAAGATTAGAATCAGAAGGGATATCGTACGGAGGGTGAATAATTTTTGTCGGGCCCGCCAATCTCTGAACGCCTGATTCCGCGGGGGCAGAAACCATAAAGTCGGGGTGCTTGACAAAAGGGTTGGGGGTTGGTTTCATGCGCCCGTCCACGAGCGCGGACTTACGGAAAACAACTGACAAACGATGCTACCCCCACCGTGAACAACCACTATCCGACGCCTGCAACCCTGCGCCGCGGACACCTGCCGCGCAGGAACACGAACACTGCGCAGGCGCCGCGCCCGCCAAAGAGTTCTTTAATTTTTCATGAGTTTTAAATATTTTTTGAATTCTAAAGAAGCAATACAATACGTTATTTATAAAAGATTTTATTTATAAAATTTAATATGATTCTAGAGAAAGAGAATGAGAATTTTAGTTATAAAATATAAAATTACGTAATATTATTTATAAAAATTTCATTAGCTTAGGAAGTTAGTGAAACGTTTTAAAAGTTTTTCAATTAAAAAATTTGAAAACATGCGTATATATATATATATATGCCTACATAGAGAAGAGAGAAGAGAAAGATAAAAAAATATGTTTATTTTTCATTTAAATGTCTTTATTAAATTTTTCTTAAACATCTGAAATAGTTTTTTCTTTCGTTGAATAGTAATGCCGAGCAAAAGTTTCTCCAACAAGAAGTGGAAACACCAGAGATGCTTCTGCATAAATCTAAAATATTAATAAATGTGAGGTTATTATGTTATTTTATTAATGTATTTCAGTATGAGAAATATTTTTACTTTAACTGGTTTTGCATCCATTCGAATTTTACCCCACGAAATTGCCTCGTCTGGACGAGCACCACTATCGCTGCCATCAAATTCAGAAGCCGTATTTATAAATACGGAATAATCAGCGCCATTTCTCTGAAATATGAATTATTTTAAATCATTATATTATCAAAATCATTCTACTTTAAATTTTTTTTATTACCATGAGATTTGCATTACATATATGATGTTTTACAACACCACCTCCAACGATAATCATACCACTCTTTTTTGCTTTCATAGCCACTGTATTTAATCGCCTAAGATCTGTAAAATAATTAATTAATTATACGAAAATTTTTAACCTCTTTTTACAAAAAGTTGAATTTTAAAACCTGAAACTATATCTATAATCAGGCCTGGATTCTTAAAGGAATGGAAATACATCATATCACCAAGGCTGCCATCTGTCAAAGCTGGACTAAATACTGGAATATTATTTTTTGCAGCCCAATAATATATTGAATCTTCATTATTAATTTCTCTACCAAGTCTTGTTATTACTTTAGATGGTGTCCAAAGTGTACCCTAAAATTATACTTTTATACAAATTCAAGTATTTTATTTTTTGAAAGAGAACGTTTGGCTTCTTTTTATTAAGTCATACTCGTTTTTGCTGTTCAGCCAACATTGCATCTAATATAGGCATAACCCAATCTTCAAATAAACAATAATTATCATTAGGTACTAACAAATTTCCTATTCTATTAATACCACGTTGCCTAAGACTTTTTCCTTCTAAATTAAAATCTCCTATATATGTTGGTGCTAAGCATTTGATCAAATCTTCTTCTATGCCACCTGCTGTGGTTACAATACAGTCAATCTGCAACATGAGTACATATTTAAATTGCCAATAATGTTAAAGATTAAAGTTTTAAAATATTTTAACAGACCATTTTATGTTGTACAAGGAACCTTATAGTATCTCGAATTCCACATGAAACCATATTTGATGTATATCCTAAGAATATTGTGCATGACGATTTTCTTCGAATAAACTCATCTTCTTCTAAGCTATCAATTTCATCATCTTCAAGAGGAATGTTTCTAGCATTAATCATTTGTTGAATTTGATCTACCGCTAATCCAAAATTTCTTGCTTGGAAACCAGAACTTTTGTATGTTTCAAGTAAAGCATGATAGTCAATTCCCTTATTCCAATCATATCCTGAAACGTATTGACATCACTTAATATTTATATTTAATTGTTTTATATTTTTAAAAAGTTGAAAATGCAACCTTTCACAATAGGTGTTTCAATTGGAATAGGTGAGCTATGCACCAATACAGCATTTTTTACAATTTCTGGGACTTCATCGTGTGAATTTTGTTTATTATCGTTCATTTTTTAAATATAAAATTGAATGATATACTCTTAAGTAGCTTCATACAGCTTCTCATATACGCGATATTTACAGGCAGACATAACCTAAAATAATAATCCATAACAGTTTTTCTTTTTCGCGTTATTACATGTAATTGCTTAATATATTATTTATTAGTTGTATGTGATATTTATTTATTAATATTATATTTTTTGAAAATTTGATAATTTTTTACATCATTTTTTTACATCAAATATTTAAAAACTATCATGTAAATTGATATTTTATTTTATTCATATTGATACATATGTTAACAAATAATTAGATTTTAATTGTCAATTTTCAACCTTGAAGTTTACTATTCATGTAAAGGGATTTAATATTTAAATTTCTTTTTCTTTATTGGTTCTGAGCCATCAACCAATCGGAAAAGAAGATAAGTAGGAAAACCAACCACTGGAGTTAGGGAGCGTAGTTGCAGTCAGATAGGTGAGTGGCGTTGTTGTAGAATATGAATTCAAAAGAACAACGGTTGTCGCAAACAAGTAACGAAAGTTGAAGAAAGTTCTTATTTTAAGTGTTAAGCATCAGTTTTTTGATTGAAATATTTGAAAAATAAGTAGAAGAATGGCAGATTTAACTGAATGGGAGCCATATATACAGAAAACTGTGGTAAAACTTCGTAATACATTATCTAAATTGAACGAAGTGTGGAAAGAAATAGGGTTCAACCATGAAACACGTTCGGTATATTGTGAACAAGCGTTTGAACATATAAATGATTTATTAAACGACATGGTTTCGGAATCTGACTCAAAGAAAGAAATGTTATTAATTAGTATTAGAGACTTAATAGAGCAGATAGGTATTCTAACGAAAGAATTAGAAATAGACGTTGGAACTGCTGGGTATGAGGAATTACCATTGAAAGAAGTAGAACAAGTGCTGCGCGCCGATTTACACAAATTACAGTATTGCAAAGAACAGCGTATGACGCATTTAAAGGAACTACTTGCAAAGGAAAGATCCCTCTGTAAAATATTAGGTACACAACCAATTAATATAATAGAGGAAAAAGTGCCTTCTGAAGAAGAGCTTAATAGTTTTAAACTCTATCTTGAAAAACAAGAAGATGAAAAAACTCGTTTGGAAGCAGTTTTTAAAGAGCAACGTAGAGCAATTATTAGAATGATAGATGATCTAGGCACACCATCATTATCCAGTTTTGAACATTTAATATATAAAGACAGTGAAAACTTCATCTTGAATAATAGTAATATGATTAAATTAAGGGAACTTCGAGATGAACTGAAATGCAAAGTAGACACAGCAAAAGAACACGTGGAAAATTTGAAGCAAGACTTAATTACACTATGGAAATACCTTGATGAACCTGATCATATTTGTCAGTCATTTCTTAATAGTTACGTAGGACATAGTGCAGCTACCATAAATGCATTAACTATAGAATTAGAAAGATGTAAAGATAAACGGAAACAAAATATTGCCAAATATGTATCAGAAGTAAGATCACAGCTAGTTATGCTATGGGATTTATGCAAATTTAGTGAACAAGAAAGGAAGAAATTCATACATTTTACTTCTAATACATATACTGAAGATTTATTAACGTTACACGAACTAGAGGTGAAAAGGGTTCAAGAATTCTATGATTCCAATAAGGCTATATTTGAACTATTTCAAGAGCGTAAAAATTTGTGGACAAAAATGAAAGAATTATTACAACGTGCAAATCATCCGGATCGTTTTTATAATCGTGGTGGTCAGTTATTAATGGAAGAAAAGGAACGTAAAACTATTCAAAAAAAATTGCCAAAAATTGAAGATGAATTAAGAAATTTGATAAAGGAATATGAAAGTACACATGGTGAAACATTTACTATGAATGGAGTAGCAGTAGAGGAATTATTAAAAGAATCATGGGAACATTTAAATGAAGAGAAAGAATTTATAAAGAGGGCCAGAAAAGAAGGAAAAGATAAATCAATGAAAAAAACACCACTAAGTGCTTCTAAGAAGGCTGTCCTGAGTACATCCAAAAAGGTACCAGGTGCATTAGGCACTCGCCGTCATACACCAATTAATTACTCAAAAAGGAAACTTTTGTTTAGTCCCTCTCCAAATACTTCAAAACGTAGAAATGTAAGTATAGGAGCAAATGGATCTAAAACGAAAAGAAACAAGAAAATTCCTAAGAAGCCGTTATTATTAAAAAATGATGCTAAGAAAGAGACTTCCACATTAGAAAATTCAACTGCTACAGATACAACATATAATCAGTTTAAAGAACATTTAGAAGACAGGAAAGAATTAAGAAGTTCTTTAATATCAGAACAATTATTAGCAAATGTAACTAAATCCAAACTAAAAACACCAGTACGAACACCTGCTAAGCCATTGAGAAAAAATTTACCACTAGCAAAGAAACCAGTAACTCCAAAATTGTCACAATCACAATCACACAAATCACCACGTAGTCCTAGGATTGCACAGTCCACAAAGCTTGCAACAGTGTCCACACCTTTACCTATAATTTTTTGAGATAGTATAGGAATCATAATAAATTTTCTATATAATGACTAATACAATTTATAGATTAAAACACTAAACATATCTTTTAAATATTTTAATTTTATTAACATTAATTTTATTAAATGACATATTAGAAAGTAGCAAATTAAATATTCAAACAGAATTTAATTTTTATTCAATAAAGATCATTATGTTACATTATATTACATAATTTATTGTGAGGATATTACTTGATGTTATTGCTTTGTATGTATATTTGTATGTACTCATTTTAATATGTAAGTCTTTCATATTTTGATATTTAAGTATAACGTTTCGAACTTATATATATATATTGTATTTCATTAATGTGAATTACAATACATATTAATGTATATATAAATTAATGCACCAATCAAATCACGTTGTAAATAAAGCATCGATTTTCTATATCGTATTTTAAAGGTGTATTTTCTAAAATATTAGAATTTATTGACGATGATCTGTCGCTAAAGAGTACATAATTCATAAGAATATGATTTTATGTACGATTATCATTCTTTTATTTTAAAATGTGTATTTTATGTATCGTTTATACACATTGACAAGTTGTAAAAAATTATTTTTGAATGATAATATTTAAACATTCAATAATATCATATTAATTGTGAAAGATGTCTGACAAGTGCGTATATTGATGTATTCATAAAGTTACAATACATATATGTATCGTGTAACTGATAAGTACTTCCGGTTCCGCTTATCGCCATAGAAGCACTAAAGTTGTTTGGAAGTTCTCTTTGTATGTAGGTTATACTAGATTTGATTAATAAACTTTCAAATCGTGCGTTTGTACATTCAAGTACATTATTAAAATTTCAAAATGGGTGATATAAAATCTTTTTTTCATCAATGGTGTGCGAAAAATAGCAAAGAACCACAGTTTGACGTGAGGCCAACAGGTATGATAAAACAATTTTTTAAACAGTATATAAATGGAAACATTGTAAAATTAATGATTTTATAGGGCCAAAACATCGGCAACGATTCCTTTGTGAATTGCGGGTACCCGGGTTTGATTATGTTGGTGCAGGAAATTCAACTAGCAAAAAAGATGCTCAAGGAAATGCAGCTAAGGATTACGTTAATTATTTAGTTCGTTCAGGACATGTGAACGCTGATGATGTTCCAAGAGATACAGCAAGCATTCAACTACAAGAGCCAATAGTTCCTAAAATAGAATTTGTTGAGCCAGTAAAATCTGTATTTCAAGATGGAATGGGTCCTAATGACATTGGCGAAGCATATAGGGCTTATAATGAATATGGTCAAAGTAATTATACGTATATTGATAGAATAGCAGAACAGAAGAAAGTTGCAGATGCAGAAGATGTTGATGTCAATTCTGGTATTCATGGAAATTGGACAATAGAAAATGCTAAATCAAAGCTACATCAATTTATGCAAACTAACAAAATTAATGCTGATTATAAATATACCACACTTGGTCCAGATCATACGAGGTATGGATTGTCTCAATGTAGCTGTTTACTTTTACACTGGATTGGACTTATCACTGCAATATCACGATGCCACTTGAAGTCTTCAATTAAAAATTTGTTTTACGAAGATATACAGAAAATTGCATGAGTGATTTACCATTTGAAATTCTACAAGACCATTTTGGAGTACGCTATTTATTTATATTTAACGCTGGTATAAGAGAAAAATGTCTTCTCTTATGCACAGATGAAACCACTGTTTAACCAGAACTTTTATTGAAATGATTCAATAAGAATTTTGGTGCAATCACTCATATAAATTTATTACAATGTACTCCAATGTGGTCTTGGAGATTTTCAAATGGTAAGTTGAATTTATGTCATTGTAATTATTTGTTAGATTTATTATGCACAATGTAGATCTTTAATTAAAATTTTTATATTATACTATTATGTTATCTCTATTATCTAATAATATAAACTTTTGTTTAGGAGTTTTATGGCTGAAATGACTTTTTATGTGAAACAACTTGGGAGAAGTATGTTTTTAAATTGTTAAAATCAATATTTATAAACAATTTGTACCAAGAATTTTTTAAAATAAATTTTAGATATTACTGGTCGTGAAACTGGTTCAAATAAACAAACTGCATCAAAAAGTTGTGCTTTGTCTATTGTCCGACAATTGTATCACCTTGGTGTTATTGAAGCATTTAGTGGAACTTTGAAAAAAAATAAAGAAGCAGAACAAATAAAACCATATCTAGTTAAAATTTCACCAGATTTGATAAATCAGATACATGATGTATTGTCAAGTTTAGATATAAACCCAGTTCCAGTGCAGCGTGAAGATGCAGTAGTTTGTATTCTTTTTTAATGATAATATTTTAAAATTTACATTTTTTTTTATTACATATGTCAAATTAAAATATATCATTTTTTATATTGTAGGCGTGCAAAAAAGAAGAAGCCTCTGTCTCTTTGTTAACAAATCAAGTGTTAGATGATTTCATTTCATCTGCACCTCAACCAGCTGGAGTAGTAAGTTGGTCTCCTCCACAACAAAATTGGAATCCATGGACAGGTTGCAATATTGATGAAGGACCATTAGCAGTAACATCTTTGGAGCAATTGTCAGAACAGTTATTACGTGATGAACGAGAAAGATTGCAACAAGATGAGAGTCTTCAAAAAAGTATTAAGGATAGATCTCACTTACCAGTTTTTTCAATGAAGAATGAAATAATGAATGCTATCAATGAAAGTCCTATAGTTATTATTCGAGGAAATACTGGTTGTGGTAAAACAACTCAAGTGTGTCAGTTCATTTTAGACGATTACATTGCATCAGGTCAAGGTGCATTTTGTAATATTGCTATAACACAACCTAGAAGAATATCTGCTGTATCTGTAGCTGATCGGGTTGCTTCAGAAAGACACGAAAATTTAGGAATGTCTATTGGATATTCCGTAAGATTTGAATCTTGTTTACCGAGACCTTACGGTAGCATAATGTTTTGTACTGTTGGTGTACTTCTAAGAAAATTAGAAGGTGGTTTGAGAGGCGTATCTCACGTTATTGTTGATGAAATTCATGAACGAGATGTTAATTCTGATTTTATCATGGTTGTACTTCGTGATATGATTCATATGTATCCTGATTTGCGAATTATTCTAATGTCTGCTACAATCGATACTACGTTATTTAGTAATTATTTTAATAATTGTCCAGTAATAGAAATACCTGGAAGATCGTTTCCAGTGCAAGAATATTTCTTAGAAGATTGTATACACTTAACAAGGTTTGTACCACCTTTGGATTCTAAGAAACGGAAAAATCGAGATTCAGATGATTTACCGGCAGATGGAGAACCAGAAGAAAACTTGAATAAAGTTATTGATGGAAATTATTCTATACAAACGAAAAATGCCATGGCACAACTTTCTGAAAAAGAGATAAGTTTTGAACTTATAGAAGTTCTATTAAAATACATTAAGGATCAAGATATTCCTGGTGCCATATTAATTTTTTTACCTGGTTGGAATTTAATATTTGCATTAATGAAACACTTGCAACAACATCCTGTTTATGGAAGCTCAAGTTATGTAATTATACCATTGCATTCACAATTACCTAGAGAAGATCAACGTAGAGTTTTCGAACCTGTAATGCCAGGAATAACAAAAATTATTTTAGCAACAAATATTGCAGAGACTTCAATCACAATTGATGATGTAGTTTATGTAATAGATTCTTGCAAAGCTAAAATGAAGCTTTTTACTTCTCACAATAACATGACGAATTATGCTACTGTTTGGGCTAGTAAAACAAACTTAGAACAGAGAAAAGGTAGAGCAGGTCGTGTCAAACCAGGGTTTTGTTTTCATTTATGCTCTAGAGCACGATATAATAAAATGGATGAACATATAACTCCAGAAATGTTTAGAACACCGTTACACGAACTAGCATTAAGCATCAAATTATTAAGATTAGGAAGTATTGGAAAGTTCTTATCAAAAGCAATTGAACCACCACCAATAGATGCTGTAATCGAAGCTGAAGTTATATTACGCGGTACGTTTCAAACGAACATTATTTTATATAAACATTTATCATTAGTGTTAAAAATTATCTTTTTTTTGTAATAATTACAATTACTTTATTTCAGAGATGAAGTGTTTGGATGAAAATAATGAACTAACACCCCTTGGGAAAATATTAGCTCGATTACCCATAGAACCACGTTTAGGCAAAATGATGATTCTAGGTTGTATATTTCGTGTTGGTGATGCACTTTCAACAATGGCTGCAAATAGTACAACATTTCCAGAAGTGTATAACATGGGGCCTGATGTAAGACGATTATCTGCAGAACAAAAATGGTTTGCTGGTGCAAGATATAGCGATCATGTAGCAATGTTACATGCTTTTCAAGCATGGGAAGAAGCTAGAGCTGGTGGAGAATATGCAGAGCTAGCATTTTGTGATTCAAAAAATTTAAGCATGGCCACATTGAGAGTGACGTGGGAAGCTAAGGTAACTGTAAATGGCTTTTTTTTATATACTATAGAACAACAATGTGTTAACAATAATTTTTATTTGTAGAATCAATTGCAAGCACTTTTACAAAGTGCAGGCTTTCCGGAAGAAACTCTTTGTCCTACACCGTTAAATTATCAAGCTGGTGCAGATGTTCGTCTTGACACAATTACCGCGTTATTATGTATGGGTCTTTACCCAAATGTTTGCTATCATAAAGAAAAGAGAAAGGTTCTTACTACTGAATCTAAAGCTGCATTGATTCACAAAACATCAGTCAATTGTAGTAATTTTGAGCAAAATTTTCCATTCCCATTTTTCGTATTCGGAGAGAAGGTGAAATTACTCTTTTTTTTTTATGTAATAAATTTACATAATCTTAAGATAATGTTAATTTATTTTTATTCACAGATTCGTACAAGAGCGGTATCTTGTAAACAAATGACTATGGTATCACCGATTCATTTATTACTATTTGGTTCTCGAAAAGTCGAGTATGTTGATAAAATAGTAAAACTGGATAATTGGATCAACTTAGATATGGATCCGGTTCATGCGGCGGCAATAGTTGCTTTACGACCCGCATTAGAAAGCCTGGTTGTAAAAGCTGCAAAAGAACCTGAAACTATTCTACAATTAAGTCCTAATGAACAAAAAGTATTATTCTATATCTTAATATCTTATGCTGTATTATTTTTTTTTTATTACAAAATTTTACTTCTATTTTGCTTTTCTTTTAGGTGTTAAACGTGATCAAGGCATTATGCATTATGAATGCATGCCGTTATGAATTAGATCAGATTACAGATGGTGGCTTCTACTCACGAGGACCACGAAGGCGACAATCTATTAATTTTTATCCGGAAAGTGGTGCTCCCTCCAAATTAATGCGCGGAAGTAGTAATTATCGTGGGAGCGGTAGTGGATACCCAAGATATGATAATTATGGCGGATATAGAAGCAATGGTAATAGAGGATACGGAATGAATAATTCACGTGGAAGAGGCGGAGGTTGGGGTGGTAGAGGAGGAGGAGGTGGTTACCGTGGTCGTTATTAATACATAATCTTTAGTATGTAAAATTAGTAAAATTTACTGTAATATGTATTCAATGTGTTTCACGTGTATGTACATTTTTTTTTATATTGTTGGAATCGAAATGTTGCTTTCTTTTTGATTAAAAATATTTATGTTATCCCATTAAATAACAGTACAAATAAAGCCTTGAAAAACAATTTAAAACTTGGCCATTTAAATGCGTATTATCAATGTTTAAGTAGTGTGTTGAATGTATGATTCATTGGAAAGATTCATACACATTTAACGCATAGTTAACATAGTTAAGGAAACGTATAGATCCGCGTATTATGTATAAGCTCTGTGGGAATGAAAATACGGCCATCTAACGGGCACGGTGGAAACGGAAAAATAAGTTTCCATCTCTTGTGAGTTCATAGGTTTATTTGTGAACACGTCAGGAGGCAACCATACGTCTGTAGTATTGGTCGGTACCGAGTGGAAAAAATGGCGAAGGTTCGCGCATAAAGACGATCGTCAACAGAGTTGACAGAAACTAATGAAATTGGCTAATGTCAAGTTTGACAACGTAATGCATGAAAAATGTTCCCTCTAGTCCGCGCCGCCTCGGTGCGTTTCGTATGATCAAGTACAACGTTTTACACAAGTGTTCAATCAAGTGAGAAAACAACGGGAGAAAAAAGAAGTAGCAGTCCAGTGGTTGCGAAACGTCACAGATCACAACACGGAACGGACTACTCCAAGGCAAGAGGTTTCACTTCACTCACTCGGGAGAGCCCTTCGATACTTAAAAAAATAATGATCATGGAAACGATCACGTACGACGGGATTCATCAGTTCTTTGACGTGAATTCGTGATGACCTGATTTAATCTTTTTGTTTTAAAAGTGTATCTAATCTTGAACTGTGCACCGTGCAAGGTTATGTGCAGTTATGCATCTGACATTTGGATCTCTTACGAACGTTCAAGAATTCCTTAGCCGTATTTGGCAATTAATGCGACATAAAATAACGATCAATCTTAAACCGTGTAAAGAGTATGCGATTTATGTTTTCTCAATTATGCCTTGTTATTTGAAACTTTTTTAAAAGAATCTCTCGATTACTACACGAAGTAAAAGCTGACGTACTAACTCTTAAATAGTTGAGTGTAACGAGCGTTTCTACATTTTTAAATTAATTGCCTTGTAGGAATTGCCGCTTGTTCAAGTGCGCAATAATGAAAATTTGCTCTTTTCTGTAGTTGTGCAATATTGTTTCTGACATGTCATTCTTCTTTTACAATATAAGCACCTTACTTGGCAGAATGCCTGGAAACTACTTTAGTATATTATAATGGCACACTAGCGAAAAATTAAAAATATAAAATACAATTCGAAGGGAAAATTTGAACTATCATGTAAGAAAATAATTTAATAATATGTATTTATTTGAAATTTTTATATTTTTAGGTATAAAAAATGAGTCAAATAGAGATGGATCAAGAAACTGTATATGGGACCCATGAGGATAGTCATGTGGTCATGTCAGAGAAAGTGCAATCTTTGGCTGGTAGTATTTATCAAGAGTTTGAAAAAATGATAGCACGTTATGATGAAGATGTGGTCAAAGATCTAATGCCTCTCCTAGTCAATGTCCTAGAATGTCTAGACATATCCTATACTGAGAACCAAGAACGTGAAGTCGAATTGGAATTATTAAGAGAAGACAATGAGCAACTTGTTACACAATATGAAAGGGAAAAACAATTAAGAAAAGCATCTGATCAGGTATAATTAAAATTTTGAGAATATATTTTTTAAGAGAAAGTAATTTATGAATTTTTTATTAGAAATTATTAGAGCTTGAAGATGTAGCAGAAGATGAAAGAAAGGAACTTTTATCAAAAATTGATAGTTTGGAATCAATCGTACGAATGCTGGAACTGAAGACAAAAAATTCACATGATCACGGTACAATTCCTAATGGCTCTCTCAGTTCATCCCTTCACAGAACGTCCCTCTATAGTAGAGTAGAAAGTTTTTTGTTTTATTTTTACGTAGTTAAATAATGGTATAAACATATATCTGGGAAAATATTTGCATGTATACTTTAAAAAATTTTTTTTATTATTAAGTGCTTTATTTATTGTTATATATTTAACATATAGTGGATGATTTATTTTTATGTTACATAAAACATACCTAGTTTAAATGTACCTATGCCATTATTTTTCTAGCAATAAAAGTACAGAAAAGTTTTTCTTGTGAAAATTATTTGATAAAGATTATATATATATATATATATATACTATCTATATACAATTTTAAAAGTAATTTTATTATTTTATAAAATTTTTTCTACGAATTTTTATATAAAAAACTTTCATATTTTTAATTTGTTATAAAAATAATAAGGCGTGTATATTTAAATTTCACTGTATGTTTCTATTAAACTCTGTAAAAGTGTGTTCTGTATTACACTCTAACTAATCTTTGCAATTAAATTTTTACAACAAATGTCAGATATGATTTTCATATTTGTTTAGTTGTTCGCCTCGAAGAAAAGGAAGCTGAATTGAAACGTGAATATACCCGATTACATGAAAGATATACGGAACTATTTAAAACCCATGTAGATTATATGGAAAGAACCAAGATGTTAGTTGGAAGTACAGAAAGATTAGAAAATTCATCTAGTGGCCGCGGCCCATCACGATTACCATCTCTTGGTTTAACTCATATGTCTCGAAGTTCTGGACCACTGAGCTATGGTTTTCAGAGCTTAGAAGCCAGCATAAATGCAGAAGAAGTTCAACAAGAAGGAAGTCCACCAAGTGCTGTTGCTAATTTAAGAACTGAAATGTTGGACAGTAGCAGTGAAGCTGCTATTGAAACATCTGATAAAAGTCAATTAACAGATAAACCAGCACAAGCAAACAAAACAACTGCAATTTCCAGACGTATGTTGCCTCTTTTTTTTGAAAATTTCGAAGTACTTTGTGATATTATCTTTATATTCTTTAATTTATATATAGATGAGAGTCCGGAAACTGAAATACCTCCTCCTTTGGTTACGCCAACATCACCGACTATAGAAAAGTTAGCTACTACTCCTAGTGGAAGAAGTAGAACAGAAAGAGAGCAACGAAGTGGTAACACATTATACCAAGAGCTCAGTTTTCAAGATGCTGATGCATTGGGTGAGATGGATGAAGGAGCAGATATTACTGGTAATTGTTTAATATTTTGATGTACTTGGTTTGAGTTTTATAACTAATATTGTCCTTGTCCTTAAAATCTTAGGAAGTTGGGTTCATCCCGGGGAATATGCCTCGTCGGGTATGTCTTGTGAAATAACATCATGATATATCATTAATTAATTCTTTGAGTTCTCAAATTTTCTTATACAAAATCAAAAAAAAAAAAAAAATATAGTATGAATATAATGAATATAATCATTGACGAATCGAACAGTACAATATTCGTTTTGTATTAATCTTGCATGTTTCATACATACTAATATTACAAAATTAATGTCTAAATAAAATCGCATGTTAAATCACATATATGACAACGCGTAAATTGGAACTCTGAGGATTAATATTAAATTATTTAAGAATTAAAAGTTTCCTATTTGAATAATATGATTTTATATTTCTTTGCTTACCTCCTTACATCTGTTGGCTCTGGTCATATTTTGACTAATAATCGCATGATATAATAACCTCCTATGCAGTCAATGACAACTTTTTCGGTAAGACATTGATATATTGCTAGTAATGAAAGTATTTATGTTTTGTTAAATTACTTATGAAAAATAATATTTTATTAGGAATGGGAAAGGAAGTGGAGAATCTTATTATGGAAAATAATGAACTGCTAGCTACAAAGTGAGTCATTTATATTTTATAATATCTATATTTGCAATATTTTATACATTACATTTATTTTTCAGAAATGCGCTCAACATTGTTAAAGACGATTTAATTGTGAAAGTAGATGAACTCACAAGGTAAAATGATGTTTTTGAAATGATATTATAAATAAGAATTATTTTGTGATATGCAAGTATAAATATAAGTAAATATGTTTAGTGAACAAGAAATATTACGCGAAGAAGTTCGAAGTTTGCAACAAGCTAGAGAACGCTTACGGCAAAAAGTCGCTGCCCTTGAAGAAGAATTGAAAAAAGTCAAAGAAGAGGCCGAGGCAGCAGCAAAAGCAGCCAAGAGTGACGACGAAGAGGATGTATCATTAGCACAACGAAAGAGGTTTACTAGAGTTGAGATGGCTAGGGTGCTTATGGAGAGAAATCAATATAAGGAACGTTTCATGGAACTTCAAGAAGCGGTTAGATGGACAGAAATGATAAGAGCAACAAAGACTGATCCTTCTAGTATATCGAGTGGAAAAGTATCGATGTGGAAGTTGTTAGTATCATTTCATATAGAAAGAAAGTGAAATATTGAATTTGATAATAATTTATTGCTTTTTCTTTCGTTTGCAGGTTTAGCAATCTCTTCACGGGACCTGCGAATCGAGGAGCCTTAGTTCGCGGACCACACACATTACCTCATATGAGGTATAGCGCACCAACCAACCAAGTTGTTCCAGCACCACCTTTGGATACCATGCGTAGACGTACGTTGAAAGGTCGCCATGAGTTTTTCGACCAGGGAGACACCATGTGAGAAATCAATCAAATTCTTAGATATTATGACAATTTGACTTTAAAGTCACTCTGCCAAATTATTCTCCACCTTTCATGTAGAGACTTATTTCTTTATTATCACGCTTTCTCTAATTACAGTTTTAACATCTGTGATCGTTTTTACAACGAAAATTTTTACAAATATGCACAATCACTACACAAACTTTATGTGTAAAGTTTATTTTAATGTTTTTAACAAGCTACTGCAACAACAAGAGATATTTTTTTTTGGTGGAATACAGTTTTGATATCTTGATTTTTAATTTCCTTTTTTTGAATCGACATCATCTTTCCAGATTAGAGTCTTCTTTGGTCAATTGGGATCCATAATCTTTTGTCTCGAGTTTCAATTACTCTTGATCGTTCTTAAGAAATGTGAGTCATTTCGAAATAATTTGTTGCCTGAGCAATTTGCAAATGTGATGGTTTTTTAACAAATTGTTGTTACGATTTTCATCTTACTTATCATTTTTGATGAAAAAATTGTAGGTATATATTTTATATGCAATATTATATGTGCAGTATAAAATATTAAAGGACTGAGGATTATGATCCATTGTACACAAATCCTTTTTTGACAATCTTATTCTTACTAATACCTCTATCTATTTCTCGTTATATTAATAAAATTCTAAATGGTCGTCTATATTGAAACGGAACGTTGCTTATATATACTTATTATATAAATCAGTTTATCATTTACTATTTCAGAATAGTAAATTATCAAAGTAAATTATCTGTTATCATTGCAAAGTCATGCTTGAAAAATGATAGTTTTGTAAATAAAAATTTGTACATTTCTAAAAGAAAATAATATATGATCACTATTGATCAACAAATAAATGAAATTTTGACTATGTTATAAACTTGGCTTTTATTTCACTCTTGCTGTGCGCTTTGATTTTTCGTTCGGGTTTCGTCCTTGCCTCTCCTTCATGGCGTTGTCAAGAGATACCTGGTTATTCTGGTTTTCTGTGGGGTGCTTATTGGCCAGCAGGTAAATCTGTTCTGCTCTATGTCTAACATTTCGTTTCTAATCATGGATATCTATAAATATTATTGTACAAATAACAAATGAAAATTGTTATACAAGATGATGAAAATAACAATCGGATTAAAACTTCATTCAAATTCAAGAAAATGTTCAGTGATCAAGAAAATCTTCATAGGAATACATGGTTGAACAAACAGCAGCATTCAGTAAATCTACTAACTTTATGGTTTAAAATTCGACCTCAATCATGTATATTTTAAAAATAATTTAATAACTAACCTACTACCGATATATTTTTACAGATCTTCCGAGAAACTAGTGGCGAGACGTGCAAATGAACGAAGAGAACAATATCGTCAAGTCCGTGCACATGTTAGGAAAGAGGATGGACGATTGCATGCATATGGTTGGAGTTTACCTGGGAAACCAAGTGCTCCAGTTAGACAACCTGTTCCAGTGCCAGTTTATTGCAGACCTTTACAGGAATCTGAACCTGGCATGAAGGTGCATTTGTTTGTTATTAATATATAAAATATTTATGCGTGCCAAAATTAGTTATTTTACCGTAATTTTTCTTTTTTATTTCTCATTATTTAGATATGGTGTGGTGCTGGTGTAAACCTAAGTGGTGGTAAAACTCGAGATGGTGGTTGTATGGTTGGAGGGAGTGTATTTTATGCTGCTGAAGCTCAAGAAGTAAATACGAATATAAAAGCTGAAGCGGAAGATGCTATCGAGCATTTAGATAAGGAGCTTCAAGAGAATGAAAATCAGAGGGTTGAGGCAGAACAATTAGAACAGCATCTTAGTTCGTTAGTATGGATATGTACATCGACTCAAAAGATGTCAAAAGTTACTGTGATAGATGCTAACAATCCAGCCGATATTTTGGAAGTTTTTAGCGTTTGCCAAGGACATTTACTTTGCATTGCAAGTGTACCTGGAGCCAAAGAGAGTGATTACGCTCAAGCTATGAATGAAGATCCAATTCGAACTGCCAATGGAATAAATGAGAACGATAACCAAGAAGTAAATGCTACTTCAAACATTGAACACAATATTCAAGCATTGTTGGAGAAAAATAAAAGTGAATCCGAGAATATATCGGAAGAACAAAATAATGAAAATGTTAAAAAGTCAGATGATGGTAATCAAAGTATCACTACTGAGACACAAAGTTTGGAAAGTGTGGACAGTGAAACGACGAATTTAGGAAAAGTACTTTTCGTAAAAGCTAATGCAGAGGGATCAAACTCACGATTGGATGAAAAAGATGATACAATCGAGCAGAAAGAAAATAAAATTGAGGAAGATACACCTATAGAAAAAATGTCTTCAATACAACCAACAATGTGGCTTGGAGCTCAAAATGGTGCGGTGTTTGTTCATTCAGCTGTTGCTAAATGGTCAGTTTGTTTGCATTCTGTCAAATTGAAGGATGCTGCACTGGCTATTGTGTATGTAATCTTTACTAGACATTAAATCAATACTATATTTTAATTCATAATCGATACGTGATATATATATTTTCTTTTAGACATGTACAAGGACGAGTTCTTGTTGCTCTTGCCGATGGAACTGTTGCATTGTTTCGAAGAGGTCCAGATGGACAATGGGATCTATCTCAGTATCATGTGATTACTTTGGGTAGTCCACAACATTCAATCAGGTGCATGACAGCTGTTAGTGGTAAAACTGTGTGGTGCGGATATAGAAATAAAATTCATGTAATAGATCCAGTTTCAATGATTGTTGAGGTATACTTTAATTTTAATATGTTTCGGTATGTAATAAACTACATCGACATATTAAAAATATCTTTATAAATTAAAAATTAAACTTCCAGTGCACTGTCGATGCTCATCCACGACGGGAATCACAAGTGAGACAATTAGCTTGGTTGGGTGAAGGAGTGTGGGTCAGCATTAGATTAGATTCAACACTAAGACTCTATCATGCTCATACTTATCAACATCTTCAGGATGTTGATATTGAACCTTACGTTAGCAAAATGCTTGGTACTGGGAAACTTGGTTTCTCATTTGTAAGAATTACTGCGTTACTCATTTCCTCCAACAGGCTATGGATTGGCACAGGAAACGGAGTAATAATCTCTGTTCCTTTATCTGAAAGTGAGTTTAAAAAATTAATAATATTTTTGTTGAAGCTGATTTGTAAACGCTTGTTTAGACAAATAAAAAATTTATGTAAAGCAGGTGCTGGTGGTTCAATGGCGGTGTCCAGAGTTCAAGTAGGAAATGCTAAAGGTGATGCGCCGGGTGTTGGCGTTAGAATTTTCGCTTCAGAACGTGGTGTTACGCCCGGCAGTTTTATACCTTATTGTAGTATGGCTCATGCTCAACTTAGCTTTCATGGACATAGGGATGCTGTGAAAATGTTCGTTGCAGTACCTGGTATGTTCATTTACATAATTACTCAATATATTGGGCATTTGTTTTAATTTTTAAATCTAAAACTTATAAATTTGTTGACTTAATATTGAAGGTCATGGCGGTCAAAGTGCAGTGTCGGACGGTTCTGAACCAGCTATGCTTGTTCTTTCTGGTGGCGAAGGCTATATAGATTTCAGAGTTGGTAAGTAATTATATTATTAACTTTGTTATTGTTACTGTTATTGTATTATTCGATCAAAGCCTTTACAAGGCACGAAAAATTAAATTCATAATTTAATACTATGATTAGTACATAAAACATACTGTTTAATTTAATTATTCATCTATTATCGTATTAAAAAAAAATGTTATCAAGATGTTGTTTTATACAATTGTAACACTTGCAGCAGATGAGGCGGAAGACGAGAGTGACGTGGCGACTCATCTGATTGTATGGCAGTTGGTCAGGTATGCCCCCAGAGAAAAATGAAACACAATTGATTTCGATTTATACATCCGTTTGTACGATTTAATGAATAGATTGTTTTTGTTATTGATCAACGAAACCTATACTAACTAACGGTGTAATGAAATTCCAAACTAACAAATTCGCTAGTAGTTAGATACATCTCTAACCATTAAAATAATTTATTCTCGTTTCTCTTTAAAAATAATCAGAATTAAGATGTACACTTGTTTATGTACTGATACTCTCATTATAATCGTTGCTCTACATTGGAACATATAATATAATATAAGAACAATATAAAGTTATTTGCTTCTGTATAGCACAAACTATTGTTATAATAATTTTCATTAATACAAAAAAGAAACTGTGTTTGCACCTTTGTTTCTCGAGCAATTGTACATCGTACAATTGTTCTGCTTCCTTCATTCTCTGGGGGTTGGGCATTTCCAGCTGACATGCATCATATTGTATAAAGAACAAATGAAAATCGCACTTCTCATCTACTTTTACTGCGCATTTTTGTTCAATTAATTATTCAGTAATTGTAAATTATTTTGTGTAGGTGATGGAGAAGACACAGAAGAGACTATGGAACGATCTAACAGTGCTGTCACTGCGAATGCCGAAGAACATGGAGAACAAAGTCATTTAATTGTATGGCAAGTGCAATGTCCTTTACCAGTGCCAATGAATGGCTAGCCTAGAAATTCTGAAAGCGTATTGATCCAAGTGTATGATTCAGCTTGAATTTCTACACGTAAATCGAGGCGTTTAATCGGTTCTCGCGAAATCGATAAATTAGACCTACCTTTTGGTCGAGCGAATACCGCATCTATTTAATTATACTTATATAACGATTGTAGCGAAATACGCAAACGATTCTTCTACGAATACGCATAACAGTGAAAGAAAAAAAAGGAGATATTGTGCAAGTTTGAGAATATTAGAGATAATTTTCGATATTTCATTATGGATGATAATTTCTAAATGAGGAGCTTTATTTCTTTTAGGGTATCACGTTAAGCAGCATTGACAGGAGATTAACTTTTTAGATATGGGATACTCATCGCGGAATTTTTAAAAATTGAAGGATAATTAGAATCTCTTAACGCAATGCTTATAACCCTTAGCTTTTAACTTTAAAAACGTCCTCTAAAAGTATTTTATTGAAATATTAATTCGATGTTGCGCGTCGATAATGTAATTTATAACGGAACTTCTTTTTTTTTTTTGACGATCATGCATGTCTTCTTTGTGCGTCGTTGAACGAAGCACGTACCTAAGAATTAAGTACGTTCGTACATAGCAAGTTTTGAAAAAAAAAAACGTCTTGAAGTCAGTGTTGATCGAGGAATGTTGAAGCATAGTATTACATTTCCGCCAATATATGTGATAACCGATAAAGGTATGGGATAATCAGTCTCAAAGCTGCCGTGACATTTGCTGTAATAAAAATCAAGATTCATGGAAGTTAAATAACAATCATTGTACAATGTTCATTTGCAGGGATGAGAGGTGCAACCGATTCAAATAGCACGTATTTAAGTATAATCTATTGTACATTGTTTCCGTTAGAGAATATATTATTTTCCAAACTTAAACGGTTTGATTCGCGTAAAAAAAAATATATATATATATACATGGAATATAATATATTTTTTATGTTCTGCTATCTTCAAATATCACCGCGTTCGATCGCGCCTATTTTTCTTCGGATCTTCATGATCTTTGAAGAGCATTTCAATAAATTTGTGTACATAAACTATTGCGAGATATTTGTATAGTTGTTTTACGTAGCGTGTAATTTAAGTTTTCGTCGATGAACGAAATAGATGCAAATCTGATACACCCATACAGACAAACATACATGTGAAATTATATGTTTAATCTCTCATCGGTCGCTGCAACTTTATTTTGCCGCCAATACTACACTCTCCCTACACCGTTACCAAAGATGAGGAACGATTTTATTGTATTCTTTGTACGATTTCTAGCGAAAAATGGTTTAAAAGTTGCGTGTTTTAGCCGATGTATAGCAACCCGAACACAGTATAGTACAACAACCACATTGCATTTGGGACTTGGAAGAAAGTCCCAAAGCCACGATATTCGGGCTTACGAGAATTTTTGTAAATTCCTGTGTTTATAAGCGACGAACAGTGAAATTCAGGATGTGTACGATGTATAAGGGCTGCGCATTATTGTGTGTGAGCTCGCTTTCGATGTCGAGCTCGGAACTGTACCTGGCTCTGATGAAGCTGCAATGGCGTTAATAAAGAAAATTGCGAAACAACACGTCTCGATTTGCCCCTCTAAGCATAAGGCGTATGACACTTCTTTTGATATATTAATCACAGAACTATTCTTTGTTACAGTTTCTGCAATCTTCGAGTATTTTTTTTTCCATGAAGAAGACATGCAAAGGTCCCTGTGATTCTAAAAAAAAAATCTGGTTATTTGATAAAAGCAATTATCCTTTGAAAGCAATTATCCTCAGATTGCAGAAAGGAATTCAAGTTAAACCAACTGCGTTAAATAAAATGAAATTTCGAAGTTTCGAATTAAGCAAACTTTACAAGCAAGCAAGAAAAGCTTTACAAAGAATTTTTCTCGATTTGATCGATCTTGATTGCCTGATGAAGTTAGAAAAAAATACATTTCATTAATTCAAGTTATTTCTAATTCGCTAATTTACGCTAATTTATTGAAACAACAATTGATTGTTTTCCGCATAATTACAATGACTGTTTATACAGGGCGAAGTTAGGGTATGGTTTGCTAACTTCATTTGCGTTGCCGTCCGAATTCCAACCAGCGACAACCTGAAACTTTATATGCATGAAGTTTAGTTATAAATAGTCCCTGTAAAGTTTTGCTAGTCTCCGACGATACTGACTACAGACAACGAGACTAGGTTAGCAAAACAGTTACGAGGAAACGACTTATTCAAATCCATGTTCGTGGAACAAAGATACAATAGATAAAGAAAGTATGTACCTACACCATGTATCTACACGTGACAATGCTATATCTAGATGCCCTATTACTACGTGCAATATGTTCGCGATAGATATCTTCGACAAAGTTGGGCAAAGAATTAATCAGTAATTAAATTAATTAACGATTAGTATTTTTCCACTAATCTTTAATTGTATATAATTTCCAACTTTAGTTGTTAATCACGAGTAAAGATTAAATTCCTATTTTAATTAAATTTCTACGTCAATTACGACGAACAATTAAATACCTTTTAATTCTTTATTGCAGTTAATGATTAAATTCTTACTTTAATCAATAGTTAACGATTAAGTTTCTTTCAATCTTTTAATCATCAGTTGGATGCATCATCGAATTGCTAGTTTTTTTTTTCTTTTGTAATATATAAAAAAATTTTCTATAATTGATTAAATCATCTTTCGACGATTAATTTTCTTTAAACGACGATTAATTTTATTTATAGATTAAATCAATTGCCAATTTTTCAACGATTAATTTTATTAATCATAAATATTAACCAGTTAATCTGAACTAAATATATATATTAGACTAATGCCCAACTTTGATTTTCGAATACGTTATGTTAATCCAAAATCATCATTATCGTCGTAGTATATCATTTTTTATATTTTATTGATTACTATGGATGAATAAATAATTGATTGAAGAGCAAAAGCGACCTTGATACTGGTAACAAAAATGCTACGCGTTAAATATTAAATATTCATTAGCGCGAATGATTTTGGGAAATATACAGTTTTTAAAAATGAATGAATTAATTCTTTCGAATAATGAATCCTTGCACATTTTAGTTCAATTTGTCGATTATGTTTTTGGCTTAAATTTTTGGTTATTGGTCAAATTATTCGACCGAGATTTGCTCACTCATTGTATACTAAATACTTTTTAATGTACATAAGATTTTAATTAAGAGTATTGTCATACAGTTTGCTGACTGATGAAGTTATCATTGAGTTTCCTTATCAAACGCTTTTTAAATCTTAATTAGTTAACTCTTGTTTTCTCAGCTTCAAATATTATCGTGTTATTGTCGTATTTGTTTTTCAATAATTTTGCAATTCGATGCAACATCCGTGCAACTTTTCAAAAAAGAAACACAGAAAATAGTTATTGCTAATTCGAATAATTTTCACATTTGATATCGATATGAATATAAACAACAAATATCAATTGCAACTGGATCACTGGTTAACAAATGCAAATTTTGAATCATAAATATACACATGCACAAGTTGGATATTTTATTTTCAATAGAAAATCGTTTTCTACAATAGAATTTTGACGTGAATGCAATGCAAAAAGTAAAAAATATATTTATCTCGAAACGCTGGACCTCGATTTTCAGTCAGTATTGAAATCAAGGTTTGGTTTCACATTCGTAACAATTCTTTCCTTGGTTTCCTATTGTTTTTACGAAAGTTTCCATTCTCATGACTCATTAGTCTAATTTTTACGCAATTACACTAATTACAGGTTTGAAAATGAAAGAAAAACATTCCACTTTTAAAGGACAAGCAGAAAGCATTTACTTCGTACTTTATTACACCTTTAAAATATTTTTCGTCAAATTAGCTTGAAACAGAGAAGCTATTGAATAATCGCTAATATTTGCGGTCATATGATTTTATATGCAGTCATACGATTTTAAATGTATATTATAATATTATTACTTGTGATATTATCATTTGAATGAATAATAATACTAAAGTCAGAAACTAATTTGAATCTTTGGGTATTATAAATTAATTAAATTATAATAATAAATTTAATAAAAATCGCGGTTATTTTGTGAAAAATTTCCAATACATTAACACTAAAAATATTTATGTAAGTTTTATATATCATGTATTAGATATTATAATTAATCTTAGCTACTTTACAGAATTTTGCACACATTTCAGGCTAGTTACTAATATTATATTACTATTTCTTATACCAAGAAATTATTTGCTAATTGAATCTCAAGAAGATAAGTGAGTTTTTTAAGATTAAAGTAATCGAAATCGACGCGTTTGAAAACTATAGAAATTAAGTAGATATCTTGTTTCAATGATCAACTCGTTGAATACACGTTTTCTTCTTTTTTTTTCCTACATAGTAACTTGCATTTTTTCTTATCTTACGTAAGATAGTTTAGTTAGTTTTTCTTTAAGCAACTTGGTTACAGTAAAAATAAACATTTTTTTTTCTTCAAGAATGAAATGTCTAATCTATTTTATAGAATTAAGTTTAAGCTTTTATTTATTATTTATAGTTCTTGATTTACTTGAAAAAAAATTATTTTTATTGTAAAGATCTCAATTTTTGCGCGAAAAAAAGTAAAAAATGAAGTTTTAGATAACATTTAATGATGAAAGAAATTTTAAAACGCAAAAAAGATTGTGTAATTTCTGTATTGATAGTAATAAGCTCTTAGTTTTTTTAAAAAATCGAAATATGTAATGCGTACTTAAAAATTATCGAGTTTTTTTCTTTTGTTGGATAATTTTTTGTACTGAAAATTTTCAAAAGTTGCAAATCAAAAGATACTACATGATAACAGAGCGCGAATTTTTTTGACAAATAGAATGCAAGAATTAGACATCCGAGGAAAAGTTTTACAATCAAAGAGTACAGGAAATGTTCTGGAAAGTGTTAGTAAATTGCAAGAATGCTAAATAAACGTCACTGATTTTTTATACAAAAATATGAAATTATGTGTCATTCATTTCCAAGAATACGCAATTTTGAATAAAATTCTTTAAAACAGGTAATTAATGATCCTTTTGCAAATGAAATTGAAGTTCTATTAATTGACTTCCTCATTTCGTCGTTAATTGACATCTTCACTTATTGTCAGTCTATCAAGTTGAGTTTAATTTTTTTTAACTTTTACAAAGTAATGTATTACGATAAAACAATCGTATGCAACAGTTTTGCAAAGCGCACTTTTCATTTTATTGTCCACTTTATTATCTATATTATTTAAAATATCTCTGCCAATGATATTCATCTTCTTTGAACTATTCTAAAATATTTATGGAAAGTTACACAGCGTATAAAAAATTAGAAATATTCTCAAGCATGTACGTATCTTTTAATATATTCATACGGTAAAATACCGTAAAATCGTCGTTCCTTTTAAACTAATTCTCTAACAAACGGACAAAGGAGTGCGAAATTGTTAGTTTTACAGAAACATATTTATAACGTTTAAATTCAAAGTGCAACGTAACATTGTTTACTAAATTTTGAACGTAGAAAACTTTGAATCGTTTTTGTCAAAATTTAATTGACATTTCCTTGCTCGGCCGTCAGAGAATTATTTTTAAGTCAAGGCAATCGACATCGAACAATTACTTGGCCGTTGTTTACACAGTGGCTCTTTGTCCGCTTTAAATAATCCATTTGTAGAAACGTTCAGTTGTTTTTCAAGTTTCGCCAGTTTCTCAACGCCGATTGCAAGAGGACTAAAAAACCAAAGACCAAGTTCTACACGCGAATTCATCAGCGCGGGACAAGTGAAGCAATTGGCACGCGGCGGACCGTGCCAAACAATGTCAAAGATCGGCTCGGGCCTTGTTTTGCTGGTTCGAGCGATCTCGTTGGGCCGTGTGTTGACACGTAACGTCGTTCCGGCGCGGGCTTACTCAACTGGCCGGTATGATAAAAGTCCGTTCTTATTCCGACTGATCAGTTGCTGTTCTGAACGTGGCAGGCGAACGAACGTGCTCCTATCGAAGAATACACCAAATACGCTGGCTTTTCGTCAGTTTCTATTGAGGAGGTACTGTTGTAAGAATCAAGTAGAGGACGACAAAATGTCTGCGACGAAGAGAGAACCTGCTGCTGAGCAGTTGACAGAATACAAGAAACATACAAAGGTAAAGTCACTGTTGTGTATGGTCGTAGTAAACGTATAGTAAACGATGTAGACTGCGAAATTTTTAAATATTTACTGTAAATATTTACTGTTTTGACAACGTAAGAGTTGAAAACCTCTGTCTGAGGAACTTGGAGTAGTTTCTTCAGGTTCTGATTTTGAGAATCACTGTACGCTGACATTGTCATGAGTTATTTAAATACAGTTTAGAGAGTTTGAAGTCGAGTTATTTGAGTATAATTTATAAACGATTTTGTAGTATGGCTATTTTTAAATATTTACATTTTGCCCACCTGTTTTTTTTTTTTTTTTTTTTTTTTGGATGCCACGTTACTCGATCGGTACAACAGACTTCGATCAATATTATGGATCCAAAGAACAGATAAAGTGTTTTTCAGTTTGAAAAGCGTAAATGGATTTAAATTTAGATTTCCGTGAATTTATTTTGTTGCGATGATGATCGATGGGTAGGTCAGTGCAATATTTAATGAGAGTATGCAAGTATGATAAAGGCGGGTAGTTTGAAATTCAATGGGATAGATTAGGATTGTTTAACACTAGAACTATATTGACGACTAAAATAAAATTCCCATCAGAGACATTAAAGCGAAAAAAAAAAAACAGAAAAACTTTATAATGTAATAGAGTACAGAAATTTTTTGAAAAATCATTTAAATTTTTAAAAATACACTGTTTCACATTTGTAAAATTTTTAAAAATTATAAATTACTCGTTTTGACTACTTTGATAGCGTTCCAGCGTTAAAGTTGAAATTTCTTTTACGATTTCAGTATAGAGTAATGTGTTGTAACAATGTCGGTAAAAAATAATGATAATGACGTGAAATTTGAGCAATCGATTCAAGGTTTTTTAAGGAACCAAGCCAACTTTTTTAGTGGATATTATCTACATCTTAAAATTTCCGAGATTTATTGACGAAAGATATTGCCATTAAAATATTTATCATACTATAATATTAACACATACTATGATAATTATTATAAATTAAATATTATAAAGTTACAATCAAACGTATAAAGTCACAATCATTCAGTTGCTGTTTTGTAAATATTTTCTGCACATTATTGTTGATTACTGTATGAAATCACTTCCAACACGTAATCATAAATATATCTCCAATTGTTTGAATTCCATGATAAAGGAATTTGTCGATTATCAAGCATTTAATTGATGATAAATGAGGAGCTCAGTGAAAATAAAACTAACGATATAATATATACAATGATAAGATTTATTTATATTTCATTCATGAATTTCTACATCAATGCGATATAGAAACGAATAGTGTTTATCTTATATCTTTCTTATATAAACATTTGAATATAAAAATTGACTAGAAAATTGAATGTTAAATTCCATTTGATCGGCATAATTCATAATAATCAATTTTTATAATTCTGCGATAATGAACTGAACATTTTGATTTGTGATGAAATAAGTCATTTCTATTTTCTGTTTCCACTAATGTAAATATTATCGATTTCCCTTGATTTTCGTCAACAGATAATTCATTTTTTTATCACGTTCGATAGGTCGAAGTTCGCGTGAAATATTCATGAAAAACAATTTAAAAAGAAAAAAAAAAAAAGAAAAAATGATGCACAATACGACTGTCACCTTTGAACGAATAATTTTTCATAGCTTCGATTGAAGCGTAGATTCCGGCCAGACGAAATTCAGTTTAACAGGAAATGAATTCCGAACGATAAGATTTATCTGAGAGATTTAAGTTGCACAATCAACTACTGTTTTACATTTAAAAGAATCAGAACAGTGATACGTCGATGTAATCATTGAATTTATTTTAAATTACGCGAAAAATACAGTAAATACATGATACAAAATTTGAAATTGAGAGTTTATTCCATACATTAAAGTTTGAGACGCAAAAAAGTTAGAGGTGGCTTTAATATTAATAACTGAATAATTAACTAATTAATAATTAATAAGATCGTAAAGTGCTCTTTGCATAAATATCTGTAATTCAGATTATTCATCATATTTTACTTTAATCACAAAATGTGCAAGTTAAAGAAATAGCGCTTGGAACATACATACATACACATAAGTTCAATTTATAAATTTTTTTACCTTCGTCATTGTAGCAACATGGAACATAGTATCTCATGGTTGATTATACGATTGATGGAAACGATCATTATGAATAGCCACGAAATGCAATTAACTATGACGCTATGAGCTACCAGAATAACCTGATTGCAGACGAATGTCATCATCATCTGTTTTCGAGAAATAAATTCTATCTATGTGATAACGTAAATATACGATAACGCAGGTTTTTGTGCCACGTTACGCAGTTATTACGTCATAACGTTCATTTCCGGACTTTAAAACAATAAAGCTTGCTCAGCACAAATTTTTACGATAATCGAGATTCGCACATTTCAGAAAGTTGCAATAAATATTGAAAACAGAAATGCTGTCACTATGAAATGTGATTTTATCACAGAAAGCTAGGAATACACGTTACGATCGATATATTTATTTCACTGCAGCCATTCCACAGAGTTATTTCTCATTGTCAAAGCGAGACGTAGGTGAGGTTAACAGAGAAAAATTCAATAGATTATGTTCTTGACTATGAATGTCGTAATGATAAGTTCTCACATGTTCTGCAACATGACTTGACCAATCGTTCCGGAAACTTTTTACTGTATTTTATGAAATTGATAAATAAAGTTTGATAAAAAGTTCGATGATAGATGTATCATTCTGATGATGTCATGGCTTGAAAGAATATTTCTCTAACGACGGAGTGACAGAATGAATAGATGTTGCCAAATGATCTAGAAAATTGCACAGTAGCATAGTTTTCGATATTATTCGTTTTGTGCGGGGAATTTTAGAAATTATCCTTTCGAAAGACGATGTAATTTCATTATTTCAATTATTGGCTTCAATTGCGTTTCATTGGATAGAGTTTATATAATAATTATTTTATAGTTCGTAACTAAGGCTTTAGTTACTATTTATTAATTATAAGCAGGTATCCTACCGTTATTGATGTTAATAAACCTTGAGTTATTAATGTTGATCATTAAAAATTCAAAATAGTACTACTAATTGTATTAAAATGATATTAAATGCACTATTCAGTGTATATATTTTTTAATATCATGGTACTTTTACACATATAAAATGCAAAAAATTTTGTCAATATATATTTTATTATAATAATTATTATAATGGTACTGTAATTACATATAATTACTATAACAGTACATATTGCTTAAGTAGGACATAGCAATAAATGAAATGGAGAAAATAAAACTATGCAATTAAAAGTTGTTTTCGATAATGGTTTTGATATATCAAAGTTTTATATATCAAACTTTTAGTAACAAAAGAAAACGAAATTCGTGAAATTCAAATATTATCCAAATAGTTCGAGTAAATACTTTTTCTTGTAAAATGTATCAATATCCTCGATAATTCAACTGTAGATCAACTTTATTTTGTTGCAAATAAAGATCATTACGTTCAAAATCTGATTGCTATTTACGCAAAATAAGCTTTTATAAGATAGAATACTTTTCGCGATAGCTATCAAATTTGCGATTTATTGCTGAATAACGTTGCAGATCGATATTTATAGCCGCGTGTTTATCAGATTGGCACGCGAGAGGCTGACGCATGCAGTTTTTCTAAAAAAGAAAAAATTGAAATACACCAAAAAAGTTCCCGTTGCAAATCGCCGGTTGGAATATTCCAATTAAAAAAATACACGAGCGAATTAGAATTAATATGTTCATTAATTGAAAATTTCAAGCAAATAAGAAACTCTGATTTCGTCGTGCAATTGACAAAAATAATTCTTTTATTGTAAACAAAAAAATTTTCAGAATTAATAGGAATCTGATATTTCCAATTAAAAAAAAAAAAATTTAATTTGTATTATGACAGTATTATAATATTACGATAATAATAACATAATGTAAATTCTTCCGATGAAAAGATATCAGTCATACTATCACAGTATTTCATTATCTACCACACTACACTACCACATTATTATCATAAAAATATTGATTCTCTCAATGAAAAAATATTTCATTTATACTACAATAATGTCACAAGAACAACGCTTTTTTAATAAAAATTTCAAATTGCTACAATATTATTAATATATTATTAAACTATTAAGAACTTAATACTTAAGAACTTATTACGAATTATATAAGAATTATTATTAAATTATTAAGAACATCAGTTTCATTATGATACTATTCCTGCAATACTGCAAAAGTCATCTTAATGAAATTTCAATCATTTCAATGTTTCAAACAGAAAATAATGAGCCTTCGAGAACATTTTCAATTAAAAGACACTTTCTTTTTAATTTCTTTTTAATTAACATCAAACTACATTTACGATGTGATTCTTTTTCTTCAAAGAACTTAGCCACATGTAAAAAACTACTGGCTGATTCATGGTTATCCACACCGGAAAATTAATCTAAATGCTATTCGTGAAACGAATTGCAACATAAATTCCAATACGATTTGCGAGACGGAATAATCCCGGTTTCAAGGAGCGATTCGTTCATCGTCATAATTTTGAATGCACATCGATAGAGAACGGTCGTGATCGGTCGAGAAAATTCTGCTTCCTATCGTGATATCTATAAATTGCATAACAGAATAGAGTGGAATGATAGTAAGATTGTTGAAATTTTTTTGGAAAACAATTTCTTTGATATCGTTACGAATTAAGAATAAGAGCCAGATGATTATATCTATAGTGATAGACTAGTAACGTTCTCTATTGTCTATTTATGTTTATGTTTGATGTTATGTATAGAAATGATAAAGAAAAAGATAAAAGTGACAGATTAATTTTGAAAGGAGTAGAGTTCGATTTTTAGAATTGGCCTTAGAAGTTATTTTTAAAATAATGTTTTTATTGTTAAAATAATCTTTGGCCATTATTTCACACAGCCTTGTCTCTTATGTAAATTCTCTACAATTATTACGTGGTAATTTTCCATTCTTTAAGTCCAGAACGACTCAACTAATTTCTATCATTTACTTCCCCTTTCCCGCTTAATATTTCTAACTTTTCAAAGATTAATTTGATCGCTTCATGAAAAATTTCTACATTGAAAAATACAGACGATAAGTGAAACATTTTTTTCAAAGAAAGATTTCACAAAGAAAAATTATCGTTACTTCGTTGATGTTTGTCATTATTAAAAACATTCTTTCACACACGACTATTAAAATAATGTTTTTAAACAAGGTTATAAAGTTCGCGCTGCAAGGTAAAAAATACCAGATAAACGAACACTCGTTTCTCTATCGTTTCATATTATCTAGAAAAATAGTCGATCGATCCACTTCGCTTCTAACTACGTTATTTTCCTTTCCGCCGCGATTAGAAAACATATTTATACGCTGTTTAGATAGATGGCTAGCACTGCAGTTGTATTTTTGCGTTCATTTTTATTCTGACGCAGTCGAATAATTCCGAGCGCGAGATAGTTGAGGCTTTGGCCGTGATTCTCGATGGAATTGCAAACTTTCGCAGCTGTATACAAATTAGATATTAGCATTTAGATACTGGAGAATTGACGAGGAGCGATGATAATTGCTATAACGAGGTTTCAAAGTGCGTTACGACTGCGTACGATAAAAAGAAAAAAAAAAAAACGCGTGATACTGTGCAATTTTAAAGAAACGTTTATCGATGATTTTTCACGCGAGTAATAGAGAAAAACATTCGATAATGATTTCTGAACTTTGTTAAGCATGAAAATGAGACTTACTACGTTGAATAAAAACTGATATGTTGTGTGATTTAGTGTCATTCGTAAGCAATCTTTCTCGATAAAATTCTAGCATCTTAGATAAAATTTTGTCTCTTTTTTAAGTGTAGTCACTCTTACAGATATTCCAATATTAATATTAACATTATTACTGAATGCATAATTATTGAATTTCAATATTATCGACCAATATTTTACTTCGCGTATTATATATGTTTTGAACGTTGCACGCATTCTGTACGTGTTTTCAAATTCTTTGAAAATTTTCCACGAATCAACACGAAAATCAGCAATTCTAATTCCGACATCTGAAAGTGAAAACTTTCAATTCTAAATTCTTCATTCATTTCTAATGATTTTGTTCAAATAACGATTATCTATTTTACTCGAGAATAATTTTATTGCCAATGAGAAAGCGCCATTAATCACTCGAGTCGATTTAAGTACTTATCTCATAATTAGAAAAATAAACGAAATCGTTCAGAAATCAAAAGATGTACTTTCCGTTCAATCAATTTTATTCGTCATTTTCTTTATAACGCTCACGCGTTAAAATACAAACGTACAAAATGAAACTATTCTCGCGATATAGTATGCACGTACGTGCGATGAGTTTCACCGATTGCACTTAATTCCGTAACGACGGACTAGTCAATGTTGACTTTGATTATGGACACTACTACTTTGCATTGCATAAAACGCAGTAATTACGTCACGATAATTCTCAATGATGTCAAACTCACTTAATTTATCGTCAAAACTCTTATTGCTAACGATCGTTCTGTGTCAACTCATAACGAACCAAGCAATGTTGCATGTTGAATGCTTCAGTGTCTTTGAATTTTATAAAATTGCGAAATATAGACAGATAAAGGCACAATGATGAAACAGTGAATCAAATTTTTAGAATTTACTTTCATGATTTTAAAGCATTAAAAAAAAAAAAAAGAAAAGAAAAAATTTAATAATTTCGATTGATTTGAAAGAATTGCAGACGAAAATGTTGAGTTAACGCGACGAATCAGAATTCGTTTCATCGAAGAGAAATAAATTCTGCTATTTTAAGATTTAGCTATAAAAGAGTGAAACTTTCAGATAACTGCCCCGCGTAATTTTTCTTTCTTTTTTTTTTTCATTTTTAATTAAGTTTCGATAGGAGAGATATAAAACGTTCGATAGGAGTCTCGCCAAGTTTTAATTCAATCCAATATTGTGAAGTGAACTTTGCTATTCTTTTTCATAAAAAAAATAAAAAAAAATGTGCAAAATTCACTCACAGGAAAATTGAAATTCGTTTCAAGGTTTTCTACTGAAATTTCATTTCAGACTTAGCTACAAAAAAATGAAAATTTCAGATGATTATTCCACATACGTAATTTTCGTTTTCTTTTTTGTTTCCCCTCCTAGCTGAATTTCGATACGAAGCGTGAAATGGAAGTTTCGCTTTTAAACAATCTCGAATCGCCAAGTGCTTAATGAATCTACAATGAATCTGAAGAATCAAACATCAATCATTAACTTAAACAATCCCCTTAACGAATATCTCCTGGATCTCGAGGCACTCCAAGTTTTATGGGGGAGGAGGGAGGAAAATGAATTAGCAGCCGGTCGTTCATCATCTCATTAAGCAATCTAATTTATTAGTCGATCGAAACGAACTCTGTTACGATCAGATTACCAGTATTAAAGTAGTTAACAAGCGTGCAACTTTTTGTTGCAGCACTCGTTGAAAAAAAGATCTTCGTAGATTCGTAGATGTTAACGATACTGAACGATACTACAACGATTGTATATTTTAGAAACAATATTGTTCTATGATTCATTTTAATATTCTACGAAATAACATCGAGTTAAAATTTTTTCAGGCAACATTGCAAAATATACAGCAATGATTATACATACGTATATCTATGATTATTAATAAATAATAAAATAATAAAACGTAAATTCTGTATTAATTTTACGATTTTTTACGTCGTGGTCAAATCGAAATCTTGTGGACAGTAATGCAAAATGTTTAATTCAAAACAGGTCGGTACTTTTTCGTCAAATTTACGAACAACAAGGATGGATAGTTTTGAAAAATTGTACAGCAATTTGTTGAGCAATTGTTTTGCCATTTTTCTCAGGGCGAGCGGCCAGTATTGCTGACGGGAAATGGCGCGCCGATCGCTGAGAAGAAAGCCAGCTTAACGGTTGGTCCGCGTGGCCCAATATTGCTTCAAGATTTCGTCTATTTGGACGAAATAACGCATTTCAACAGAGAAAGAATTCCGGAGCGCGTGGTGCACGCGAAAGGAGCTGGTACGTTGATCCATCACGTTCTAATCATATCGTGAAATATTTACTGTAATACATAACGAGATACTCTATATATTTTGTAGCCATATCGTACTACAATATACTTTAATATATTACTATAAAATTATTTCGTAAATTTTTGTAAAATTCGCAGAGTACAAAAAGCGATAGACAACTTGATTCTTCGAAGTCTCGAATTTATTTGTGTTACTCTGAAAAATTTCTCCTTTACCATTGCGTTGTGAATTTGTGACGAAGATGAAAGTGACGTGTATTGTCTTTGTAATGTTTAAGAAATTTTTTTACATTTCAAAATCGTACGCTGAATCACGACAAGATCTTCATTCTTTAAAGTAAAAGTTTAAGTTGCACATAACGCATATTTTCATATCAATAAACGTTGTAATTTCAGCAATATTTCAATCTACTCAACAATCATTCTTTTTTTTTCTCAATGCTTCATAGTAATCCACGAAAGTTTCCTAGATGGTGCTCTCACGTCATAAAATCGAAACAACAACGATACCAGAAAAAGAAAGAGAGAAATTAAGAAATTCTCCGATGAAAACTTGAAAGTCGCTACATATACACCAAGGAAATATTTATAAAGCGTTCGAGGTGTCCGCACAACTCGGATAACCCATAATCGAACCGCCGTACTACCGAGAATCGTTTACATTTTTTCTTTTCTTGCTTGGCCGCAGGTGCGTTCGGTTATTTCGAAGTTACCCACGACATTACGAGATATTGTAAGGCAAAGGTGTTCTCCTCCATTGGAAAACGAACTCCCATAGCCGTGAGGTTCTCCACCGTGGGCGGTGAGTCTGGCTCCCCGGATACCGCCAGGTAATTGCCAAACTATACACACTTCCGTTTTGAACGTGCTCGCGCGAGATTTGGCCCAGCGTTTCGTATTGAAAATTTTGCGATTTTTTTATTAGTGTCGATGAGAACCGAGTTTTAAAAAAAATATATTCACTCTGTTCCATATTCTGGATAGGATACGAGCTTCGGAGAATTCTGCTATTCTACGATTTTATAGTTTTTTTCACTATGCTCACCGGTGAAAAGAATTGGCCAAAAAATAACTGCGTAAATGAAAAAGCGAATTTTTCACGATTAATAAAAACTTTGTTGACACATTGATCATTTTGTTCGATTATCTTATTATTTTCAATGAAAAGAAAAGTTCTAAGAACGATTTAAATTTAGTGAAATTTAGCAAACCAATTCTAACACTGTCATAATTTGAAGGTTTCTTCGCCTAGATAAGGTTTCTGCATATCAGATAATTTTTTGACAAGCGTTGCATAGCATTTTTTCCCTTTTCGGAAGTAGTAGAGCAAAATACAACGAAAATGTCCCTTTTTCGCTTTCCATTTTGAAATTGACGCTAAAACAATCGTTAGCAAGATCGTGGATTTTTTTTTTTCTTTTCTGAAACAAGCTTGAACAATTAGGTATCAGATTACGCAACGAATTTATGGTTTAAGATGAAATTGGTTATGTTTCAAGATATACATATGTATATGTTCGTCGATTAGAAAGAAACGCAATTACTTTTTGATCAACTTAATAGATTATGTTATTATACGTGCAGGATGTTTCCGATTTGGTACGATCAGAAAGATAGTGACACAAAAATAAGTCGAAAGTAAGAAGTACAACTTTTGCATTTGAGCCCCCGTTTTTGAGAGAATGGAGTTTGAAAATTTATCACGCGTACTGAAATTTCGCTAATTTTGGGCTGAACAGAAACGAATAATTAACGGGAGATCATTCCACGCGCGAAAATAAATATCAAAATTGCGGTATAGCATTTTTTTCATTTAAAGTTTTCAAGAAAATGAAATTTGGATGTATTTTCCTCGGTTTAAAAAACTCTTCAAACTTCGATTTTCTCGAAGAAATGCTCGAAAGCTCAAACGAAGAAACTTGATTTTTTATTTTCGAATCGAATCGGAAACACTCTGCACATTAATTTTTAGATAAAAAAGGAAACAAAGTAATTTGAATTGAAGGTAACAGAATTATCATTAATAAGCAGATAATACAGTTGATAGGCACATGTAAATGTTAAAGTAATGATAAATATTCAAATACACGTAACAGTTGAACTAATGATAAATACTTGCGAGAAATTCAAGGTTCCGAAAACGTGATGCATGTAATACGCAAAAATATAAAAATATCACAACACTTGTTACAACTTATTAACAAATGAAACAAATTTGGAATCAACTGCTTCAGTCATGCTTATGAACATGTAAAATTACAAACGTCAGCAGTCTAATAATTAATTCTACACATCTCTGCAAGAGATATATGTATAATTTGTTGGCATTCTTGTTGCCATTCACAGTCGATTGCTTGCGAATTGTCTGAAATTATTCCAAAAACAATGAGAACTAATGATCACGAAGGGAAAACTCAAGCTTCGCGTGTAATTTACTGCAATTATGGATTGCAAAAGTGCTAGAAACAGGATTTAAAGTTTTAGTTACGTCTGCTTAGTCATACGAAAATGCGTGCAAAAAAAAAAGAACGGAAATGTTCTCACGATTAATCTGATCGACTACCGGATCTCGCGGAAAAGTTCCTCTTTTTGAAACTGTTGCTGCAACAATGATTTTCTATGAATTACGCGCAATTTCACGCTTTTGCACAGCAGCCTTTTTCATTTATTGAGTGTACGGTTCGTTAAACAGATCAGTAATCGTGCAGATAATCAATAATAATATACTTACTATAATTTACTTATCAGAGGTTCAAAGATCATGCCTCGAGTGAATATATTCATAAAATTAATTACGAAATTTAATTACAGATGTAATAAACATGTGTATTTGTAAAAATAAATAAATATATTCAGTATTATAAAATAACTATAAATATTAACTTGTTACATGTCCTTCACACAATGTTGATTTGAATTGAATTGAATATTGAATTTCAAAGAATTAATAAGATGAGTCAGTTCGTTGTTTCATTGAAAATGCAAATGAGACTGCTGAAAAAAAAAATAATGTCAGATCAAAATATTTTTTCTGTAAGAAAACAGGATATGAAAATGAAAATGTAAAATATATGAACAAAGCATTTTTTTTTTTTTTATATATAAAATATTTCATTTTAATTTGCGCGTTAAACTTTCAAGAACGATGCCTGGTATTGACGATTCCGACTTTTTGATCATTTTCGTAGGCTCAAATTACACTAATAATAATAATTAGGCAGATTTGATAATTATTTTAATAATCTTAACAACTCTAAACAATGACACACGTTGATTTGATTCACATTATAAATTTAGCACTGTTGAAATAAATTTTGGTAGAAATCGTACAGGAAATTTAGAAATTTCTTGAGAAATATTATTAGATTTATTATTATTTTTATTGTTAATTTATTAGAAATAAATTTTGGTAGAAATCGTACAGGAAATTTAGAAATTGTAGTTTTATTATCTTGTAGTTTTATTACTGGATACAGGGAAAATAGAAAATCTCCAAGGGTAAAAGGTTGAGTCGTTCTTTACTAATTCTTTACTTTCTTTCCTTTTCAGGGATCCTCGTGGTTTTGCGGTCAAGTTTTACACGGAGGAGGGTATCTGGGATTTGGTTGGCAACAACACGCCCATTTTCTTTATCAAAGACCCTCTATTCTTCCCCAGCTTTATCCACACGCAGAAACGAAATCCTGTTACTCACTTGAAGGTTTGTCGTCGATCTCGTGAACCTAGCTTTATAAATTTGTTACTTCTTCAAAGTGTAAAGTTTAGACTAAATCGCGATCATTTAATCAATTATTCCTAATATCTGATTAATCAAGTCTTTTTAAACAGAGTGTGAATTGAACTTACAAAACTTTAATTCTACGTAAAAAAGACTATGAATTTAATATACTTATTTTAATTTGTATCGAAGGTTCATTAACTAACTAACTAACTAAGGGCTTAATTCTGTTACGATCTGACGGTCTGTAAAAGAGTGAAGCAAATTTTCATAATTTTCTAACATAATCCTTATCTAACGTTCTGAAAAAAATTCGAGGCTGTTCCTGTTAATACCTATAAATAATATTTCTCGATCAAATTTTCGTTTTAAAAGTCGTTTTAAAATGTTATGAATTCTCTCTGTTTGATCGAAAGACAAAGTACAACAAAGAGACAAAGAAGAAAATCATTCAGAATCTCGTAACGAAAAATGTTTTCCACACACCTATAAAAAATCTCGCAATGTTTCACCTCTAATTACAGAAAATTTATCAAGTACACTAACTCGCTCTAATAAAACTACTCCAGCTACGTTAATTTCATCACTCGCTGACTCATTACAAATCCATTCTTTGCAACAGTTTTAATTTAAATTACAAAAGACACGGCATACTCGGTGTAACTTTTATTTTTCTAGTCGTTTGCCCTAGATATCGCTCATTCTTATCGAGAGTTGCACGTTTATGTGATTGTTAGCAGCGTGGCTATATTATATTACCAATGTATCCTTCGTGCAGCTTTGTGTCAATTGAATTGTCTTGCACAGGACGCCGACATGTTCTGGGACTTCTTTTCTCTAAGACCCGAGTCAACGCATCAGGTCATGTTCCTGTTCTCGGATCGAGGTATTCCCGACGGTTATCGTCACATGAACGGCTACGGCTCTCACACGTTCAAGCTCGTCAACGCCAACAACGAGATAATCTACTGCAAATTCCACTACAAGGTTCTTCTTTTTTTACATTTTATACATTTTCTTTTTTTTTTTATGTTTCGTTCGTTTAGTAGCGGAGTAAGCATCATCCCTTGATAAAACTGAAACATATTGACTTACAAAAATACTCGAACGCCAATTGTACAACACGTTGATAAGAGTTGCTGTAATTATTATTATAATTCGAATACTCTCGTGAGCAATTGGAAAATATTGAGAGTTTGACCGAGGATTTTTACGTGTATACATTTCTCAATTCTGTAACTCGAATTTCATATATTTACATTTGAACGTCTTACATACTTTTGTTACTATTTCATCAATGATGAAAATTACGAAAATTATGAAATAAATGATTTAATTGCAATATTATTAGTCGCTAGATTTTCAATTGGAGTAAACAGAATTTAACATATGTTAACAAATGTTGATTACTTGAAATGAATGATCAATTAAGCAAATGATCGACACATTGATCTGTTCAAGTAGTCTTAGTGAATAAAATGAATCTTTAATCAGATTTTATTTCCCTGTGCGTAAAAAAATCCGCAATCTATTGACGATAGTATATGAAACATATCCATGTATGAAATACTGTTTATCTTTTTTGAGAATGCTTATACAGAAGAACTAATTTGTAGTCGAAAGACATTTTCTTTCCTTTTTCAAAATTTCTTAGGCTCGTAAAAATTGCAATATTTGAATATTCGGTATCTAGTCACTTTGTAGTTACGAATAAAAACGATACGTTTCATAAATAGCAGTGAATGTCGATCGCAGATACAGAATGGCATGAAACACGACAAAAGACATAAATAAAGATACGCGTGAATTGGGTCGAATGAATGGAACGATTGAAAAATTGCATCGATCTCGACAATGAGTTAATAGCGCTATTAATTGAAATAATAAATTTCTGAATAAAAAAAATATCACGTAAAGAGGACGTTACGTACAATGTACAATTTATATATACGTATATTTATATATACAATATGATGATCTGATTTAACATAATCTAATAAGAAGTAAAAAGTTTTGTGTATATTCATACTTTTAATATTCATTAATATTAATGAATTCGAAATTGTTTTCAGACCGACCAAGGGATTAAAAATATTTTCAGCGACAAGGCGGCTGAAATAAGCAGCAGCGATCCTGATTACTCGATCAGGGATCTTTACAACGCAATTGCCACAAGTAATTATCCGACTTGGACCTTCTACATTCAAGTGATGACTGAGAGCCAAGCGAAGAATTTCAGATGGAATCCTTTCGACGTAACCAAAGTAACGATCGTGATTCACCTATTTGATCTTACAGACAAGTTAATTCTGTACTTAATACAGATTTTAATTCAAACGATTAATACTATTTATCAGCAATGAACCATATTTGAGTAATACAAATCACTACGAATTTTGCTATTTAATTTCGCGACGACAGCTGTCGATTTTAATTGTGGAAAAATTCATAATTCGAGTAAAGCGATAGTAAAAGTCGGCTTCGTAATTAAAAACGCTAGAACTACCAGAGTGATTGAAACGTCCAGTTTGTCATTTCTGTTAGAAATTCTATAATCGTATATTCAGAGATTTAAATGATTTTTCGTAAAACATATAAATAAAAGCTTTACTTGATGTCTTTGATGAAAATTTCAATAGCCAAATTTCAATTGAACAGGAACGCAATAAATTTTGCTTCAATTCAATATCACAATAATAGCTGTTGAAGATTGCAAATCGCAATTAAAACCGTGTTTTTTTTTTCCCTAAATGAAACAGGTATGGCCGCATGACGAATATCCGCTTATACCTGTCGGCAAGCTAGTGTTGGATCGAAATCCCGACAATTACTTTAATGACGTGGAGCAAATAGCCTTCGATCCAGCTCACATGGTGCCTGGTATTGAACCAAGTCCTGACAAACTGCTACAGGGTCGACTATTCGCTTACGGTGATACTCACAGGCACCGTCTTGGTCCGAATCATCTCCAATTACCTGTGAACTGCCCATACAAAGTAATATCTCTCATATTTATATATGTGTTTCATCCGGTGGAAAAATATTCCATGTGTAAAATACGATAATTATGTGCACTCTAGTAAGGCTAGTAAGCACTAGCCTTAATAGTCTAGTAAAACACTGATAATCACATTGATTAGAGATGAAAATATAATCATGATTGAAGTGGAATTCAATGAAATTTCATTTTTCAGAGAACATTCATTTGAATATCAAGCTCGGATTATAATTAATAATGAGAGTATATCAAGTCACAGCAATTTTGTCTTTCACGAGTAGATTTTCCAACAAAAGTTCAAGAAGCATATATATTTCTTCTCTTTTTACTCAAAATTTTCTATCATATATTTATTCAAATATAGATTGTCCGAAGTATTCCAACAGTTATATACTTTTTATATTTATTCAATGTAATATAATAAGTGACTGGTTGTTCAAATATCTTATAATTCCTGTATATTCTTAAATTCTTTTTAAACTCGACCAATACTACTGTGACAATCGTGCAATCATTGCAGTGTTAATGAAATTACACGAAACCACAGTTACATAAAATATTGTTATATATTGTTGTACGACAATACATAAAACTTGCAAGGAAATATAAGTTTTCTACTTGCAACTTTTTATTACATCCATTTAATTACAGATCATAGAGATTCTGAAGAACAGAAGAATTTCTAGTATATTCTTTGCATCTTTACCTTCGACTGAGAAAAAGAAAAATAAACGAGAACGATTCCTTTAACTTTCAGGCAATAACCGCGATGAATTATCAACGGGACGGCGACATGAACATTAACAACCAAAATGGCGCGCCCAACTATTATCCCAACAGTTTCGGTGGCCCTCTGGAATGTCCAGCCGTTCGTTCGCCAAGCTTCAGCGTGAGCGGCGACGTGGACCGTTACGAACCGCAGAACGAGGATAACTTCGGACAGGCGACCTTATTCTGGAGACGAGTTCTAAACGCCGACGAGAAGACCAGGCTGGTGGACAACCTAGTCAGCAGCCTTAAGAACGCGGCGATCTTCATCATCGAGAGAGCCGTGATGAACTTCATGCAAGTGGACCCTGATTTTGGCAAAAGACTTACGGACGGGCTTCGTAAAGCTGGCGTGAGAATCGCTATTTATGGCAAATTATGAAACTTGTGAACAGAGCAACTCCTCCTTTTTTTTTTTTGCACTGTAATCACTATGCTATTTACATTAGACGCACTATTTAATTGTTAATATTTCCCACAAATAAAATACATTATTATTTATATGTCACCTTTACAATTTTTTAACTTTGTTTTACTGTCGGGCTGTGGATTTTCACACGTACACAGAGAATGTAACATGCAACACGTGAGAGATAGATTGGTCATCAGTCAAAAATATGAATTAAATATTTGAATTAATATTTTACGTTTTGTATGATGAAAGAATAATCTTTCCTTTTTATCGTGAAAATCCGCAGCCCATTTGTTGCATTTAGCTTTGCTTTTCTTCTTTTACTGTTTTTATGTTATGTTTAACATGTTCCATTAACTTTGCACAGATTAAGAGACTCGACTAATTACATGATTAATATAATGAACAGTGTGTACAATCTACAGAATGTGCTTTTTAAAAATATTTCCTATCGCTATATTAATGATCCATGATATTGTATGCAAGTGAATAAATAAAAAAAAAAAAAATTATTTTATAATCTAATATGAAACTAAAGTGAACGCAGCAGGATTAATGAAAACACATTGCAATATAACTTCTATTGATTAAAACTGATTTTCATTTAACGCTTCAGCGTATCGGTGATAATGGTTAATTATTTAAATTGTGATATTTCATAACAGAATGAATGAAAGTACTAGAATTGATTAGAAGTTACTTTTCTAACGAATTAAAATTTTTAAAAGGCCTAAAATATAGATTTGAAATAATTAGTAAACTGTAGACAGAAAAAAAAAAAGGAAAGTTTATGCAAGGAAATAGTAGATTCCACATAGAAATTTGTTTCTTCTGTAAAAATGTTATTTTATAGATTTTTAGAATCTTAGATTCTCCAAAAATACATTCGTAGTTTAATAATTTTTCAAATATAAATATAGCTCGGAATTTTAATACATTTTTCAGTTCATTTGACAAGCTCTTTATTAAAAATCGAAACTTAAAATGCGTTGAATAATAAAATAATATCGAAATTTCTTTTATGAAGATCACGTGAGAATTATTTAACGTTAAATTAATAAAGAACAATAATGAGTACAATTAATTGCACGAGAGGATTGTTTTCAAGCACTCCGATTCATCTTACAATTACTTTAGTAATTATCCCCGCTGAAAGAGGAGACCTTCAATTTCAATCAATACTATATCTCATCTGTATAAGGATGAACAGGTATAGAATTTCATATTTCGCCTATTACAACAATAATTTCCGATTATCCGTATTTACATTTAAGTTTGATTCAATGCTAGTCAATGTTGCAATCTTCTTCTATCTGCTAATTTTAGCTTTGTTTTATGTTGAACTTTTTCTATAATTTCAAGTATCAGCACATCGTTAATGAAAATTCTACACATTTTACACAAGTGAAAGAAAAATTAATTACTAGACTGTGAATATTTAAGCATATTCATATTTTTATGAAAACAATCAAAAGATTAAATATATCATGTAACGAATGGAAAAGTGAGGATACTTCTTTTTCAAAAATTATAAAAATTCGAACATCTATCAGTTTGCTGATTGAAAGAAACTTGAAAAATTTCTTTCAATTCGTTCTTTAGATTCACGATTAGATCATTTTGAAGAATGGAGTTTCCCCTTTACAATGAGCCCTTAGAACTTGATATACAATTTTTATTATATCACAGTATTTATTTGAACCAGTGACAAAAATTTAAGAAATTTCAAGATTGACGTTCATTTAGTTAGTAATGTTCAGAATTCAATAAAATGATGGGGGAAATAATCGTACAATAGATTTTAAGAAATCGTTGAAAAGAGAAGATTCTAATCTTTAAGACTATGGATCTAGTCGTGAAACATTTTTCCTATTGTTTTGGTACCTTTAAATTTTCTATAAATGCAAAAACCCGCAGTTTAGTAATTAAAATAATCGTCAATCACAAACTAGTCCACTAGTAAGAACTAATCGGTGTTTATCTTCTAGGTACAAATATAATATCTTATTAATGGTTTCGTCTCTCGATAAGGAACTGCGAATAAGCGAAAACGAAAAGGCCTTTTCTCTTCAAGCAAGATATTAATAAACAGGAAAATCCAGTTCAACAGTTTGTAAAAAAATTGGTTTATCACCCCGAAAAAAAAATCCACAATTTTCTCTGTACGGCGAATTCCGACTGCATCTGTTTTATTCGATGAACATTGATGCGCAGTGTGTTCTTATGAATAAAGCCTCGGGAAAGGAGGAGACACGTTTGTCAGGTGTGAAATATTTGCTTTTATGCCAGGAAATATTTTCTAATTAAATTGCACGTGATGCAATGGAAGAGTGAAATGTTATCGTTATTAAAATAGAAATAAATGGAATTTTCCTTATTTTAATTACTTATTGGTGCATTGAACGTTAGAGTAAGATTATAAGCTATTATAATTAAGAATAAAAGTGTTTTATAATTTTTTGGACTGGTGGATTTTAAAAATGGTAGCAGCTGTGATGAATTTATCGAAATAATATTAAAACAGTAATGTCAATATTGGGGAATAGTTATAGCATCGAATATTGTAACAGTAGGAAATTTATGGTAGGACAGAAAAATGAAATGATTCACAGTGTCTTTGTATTATATATAACGAAAATACTAAAACAATAGTATATTTCTCAATCTAGAAGTGCACAAAAGAAAACACGTATTTTAGACTTAAGATGGACTAGTTATAAAGTTTGTAATTTAAATTTGTTATAAAGCTTTTTGAGTGTGATATTTCAAGCGTTTTTCATTTTTGTTCCTGAAGAAATTATAGCTACGAGATAATGTTCGTCTACATAAAAATCATTACTTCTATTAAAAAAAAAAAAAAAATATATATATATATATGTAAATACTGCACATGTATTCCTTAAAAAGAAATGAGTATTAAAAATTTCTAACTTTTTCAAAAAATATAGCAATATATTATAGAAAGAATTATAGAAAGAAAATATAGATAGAAAATCTAGATTTATGCAGAATTCTACTTCTAAAATAATGAAAATGTTATTTGATTATTAGAAGTAACTACTTTGTTCTATTAATTTAATTTTGGATTTAAAATTTTGCTTGGTTTAAGCAATTGTTAAACTTAATTTCCATGTTAAATTCCATTTACTGAAAACGTATCTGTTTACAATCAGAATGGTTGTGGATGAATCGACAACACGGTAAATACAATCACATTAACTATTTACTAAGATATAGAATATAATAAATGTCGTACACAAATCACAGTTGAAGAAAAGAAGTTTATCTCTCGTATCATTTTATTCCATTATCACGTTATTGACAAAGTAATGTTTACTTTTAGATTATGAAATAAAAAAATCAGTTTGCTAATTGAAAGAAATGATACACTTCTGGAAAAATCCATTCTCTGAGAAACGAGAGAAATTGTTAATTTTTTATCTCTTTACGCTAAGTATGGTAGCCATACTTTGTCATGCATTATTTATCGATGCGAAATGTGTATGTATGCGTATGTGTATATGTATTACTTTAAAAAGTTCATGGAATAATAAGTTTAATATAGATTAATTTTTATCTTATTTTTTGTTGTCTCATTTTGTCGCAGTTAGTTTGCGAGTTTGTAACTGAAACACTAATTGCTTAAAATTTAATTCGTATTCCTGTAATGGCGCTCCGTATTAAATCGTTCAGGTGTTGACGAGTTGACGAGTGAACGATATTTACATTTAATAAATTTCATGGATGAATATTCATGTAGTTTCAAAGATCGATAATAGACCACGTACCGCAGTTTATACATGTTCGTGTTTTATGTTTGCAACATGTTTCTCCTCCGCAGATTTCAGAAGAACACTTCAAAACATTCATTTTCTTGCAGTTCTATCAGTTTTATCAATTCTGTCGTGATTTCGTGAAGTAATATTTTCAAAAGAGGGAATCACGTTTTACTACATCAATTTCGATTGAACTCGCTAAAAACGTGACAGATCATTTTAAGTTTCGTAGAAAGACATCGTAACATCGGTTTCTAAAATCGGTTTTTGTAAATTTTGAAATTAGGAAAAATCTGATCAACAAATATAATAATTATATGAAACGACGAACAATAAAAACGAAAAACAAGAATTATTCAATGGAAAAATATCAAGCAAACTGATCGTTACAAATATACTACAGATATTTATAGAAAATATATAAATTCAATAACGAAAAATAAAAGACATTGAAAAGAATAAGAAGAATAATCAGATATCCTCAAATTACACAAATAAATTAACACGTATTTTCTCGTAATTTGTAATCTGAAACATGAAAAATCAATTCAAGTAATTCAATCAATGTAGATAATTTTTTCTTATTCTGAGGTGATAATATTTCAATAGCATACTCAAACGTTGATAAGCAGATTATCTCTGATACAATTCATTTTTAGTAAATACAGTTTCTTTTTTACAAAAAATACAATAAACACGTACTCGCCGTATATAAGTCACGCAAACTATCGTTTATTTATCAGAAACTTGCCAGTTTACTTTTCATCGACTTCGACATAGTCAATCGCTGAGATTCTACAAAGATTTTAGCCAAAATGGTGAAGAACTGTTTTCTTGTCGCTCTTCTCTTCGTGGCTGTAGCTACCATCATGGCAGTACCAGTGGGTGAGTGAAAGGAAATTCGTTTTAATTAAATAATTCACGTTGTTGCAATTGTTCAATTATTTAATTTTCACTTCGTTTATTTTATTCCTACGTTTTCGAAATTGAAGTTGCGAAAATAAGGTTAATATTCTTCCATCATCATCGTCACATAGACAAGCCTAGATTCTATAATTTTATGAAACTTCAAGAAAGTGAAACATATGTAACATTATGATAAGTTGTTGTTTGATTTCAAATTTTATAAGTTTTCAATAGAATTTCAATTTTTACTGGCTCTAATTATAATTACTAGTAGTAGCATTTGTTGTAAAACGGAAATATCTTTCAATTTCCTATTTTTAATTTTCTGATTTTTATAATATTCTAGTATTAGTTGCGTTTGAATTAATTAATAATAACTAGACTAAATATTCATTTAAATTC